AGAGACGTATTATGTTAAATTCGGATCTGTGTAAGTGACAATTCCTAGTCTGAGTTGAGAGTATAAACCTTGACAAATTGGCTCGTTTTTACATGATCTCTAGAGTCGCATTCAATAACCAGACAGTCCATATGGTCTCCTCCCACTGGGAAACCCTCCACTGGGGTGGTGGCCTGGCTACCTGGTGGATGGCTGGAGGCAATCGGTTTGCCTGTTTGTCTGATGGACTTAGAAAGAGTACACATTCTTAGGGGTTAAGGCCAAGGGTGCTGGGGCCCATCCTTCCCAGCCCCTTCCCCCCACCAGTTCCCTGAGTGCTCAGGAAGTGGTGAATTTAACAGCTGTTAGAGGTCAGTGAGCCCACCAAGTGGGCGTAACACTAGTGCTTATATGTCCCATAAGCCCTGAGTTGGGTTTTCTCCTGTTTATAATGCAAGTGGCTGACTTAAGCTTTGATTGCCCAGGCGTCCACTTCAAAGAGGGCTGTTTGAGTAACTACTTTGCCAGTCACACAGCTAGAGGAAGAGCCAGCCACCCCCCCCCCCCCCCCCGCACTGAGGCTTCTCTGTGTTAGACATCTTGGTTGATGATTCTGATAACTGACCTTTTGGGCCATTTATTGTTTTTCTCTCCCTGTGCTTTAAATCCCTGGTTTTCAGTTCACTAATAAAGAGTGAGCCCGTGAAACCCTAGGTCCTCCCATCCTGAACCCCAATAAAAGCAGAACCTTAGGTCCATGCTTGCCCCTGTATCCCCCCACCTCCACAACCTTGTTATGTGGCCCTGTGTGTGCTGTGTCATTTTTAGGTCCTGTAAACGATAAACCTTTATTTTTTCAAAGTTTCTTGATGGTTATTGCCCAAGGGCTCCTTGCAATCACAGTAAGAACCACAAGCCTGGTTCAACCCGAACATTGGTTATTGAAAGACTATGACTAACACACATTAATAACCTCATGGAGGGGTTTTGAGAGGATTAAAAAAGCTACTAATGTACAGTGTGAAGAAAAATGCCAACCTGGGTATCCAAGTGCTAAAATACATTAGTTAAAAACGGACCTCTCCCCCTGTAGAGGGCAGCATCTGGTTTTAGTCCCCCCACCCCGCCCTGGAAAGATGGCGGTAAACCTCAGAGAGAAGGCGCCAGCCCAGTTTGGCACTGAGAATAAAGAATCAGTGGCCAACAGGGAACCTCCACAGCGACTGGACAGTTCAGCCGAGTCCTGCGTGTCAGCACGGTGCCCAGTGAAGGGGGAAGGGGAATGGGCAGTGCATGCCTGGGCTCTTGCTTCACACCACAGGGACGCCCGCTCTCATCACTGTCGCACAGAAATGTGGAGGGGCTGCGCCTTTCTTCAGGGTGACCGCACCACCCAACAGAACTTTCTCTGATGATGGGAATGTTCTGTATCCGGCCTTTCCAATACTGAGCACTGGAAATGGGGCTAGTGCAGGTGAGGGACAAGCATTTACTTTTAATCTTTTAAAAAAGTAGGCTCTACACTAATGTGGGGGCTAGAAGTCACGGTCCTGAGATCAAGAGTCACATGCTCTACCGATGGATCCAGCCAGGCGTCCCTACTTTTATTTAAAGTACTTTTAAATAGCTTGGGCTGGGGCGTGACTGCGGTGATGGCTAGACACGAACATCTCTGGGGTAACTGGAGAAGTAAATTGTACTGGACGGATGTGGAATCGGGTGGGGATTTGGAAACTAGGGAAGAGCCAGTGTAGACCCAAGAAGGCCACCTGGGTTTCTGGCTGGAGCCACTGGGTGGAAGGGTGCCATTCATGAAAGAGGAAGAAGGGTGGTGAAGGGACAGAGTTCTGGGCAAGGAATGAGCAGCTCTGTTACGGACATCTTAAGCTGTGTTCATGAATACAGCCAAATCTGGTTTGGGCCACGCTGGCCTTTTAACCTCTGGTCTGATCCACATAAATCTCATTTCCTTATTTCCAAATTATAGGAAGATTAAGTATAGTAGGAAAATTCCACATAAAATTCCTATCTGACCGACACATTTTATCTAGAAGATCTTTTAAAGTCTTTGGAAAGTTTGCATAGTTTAAGTCTTAGGAGCAATTTTACAAAGAGAACTCAGCTACGCAGGCAAGTTCTGTAACATCGCGTTCATAACGGTATTAGTTACCACCAGAGAACATCATTTGGGAATATTTCTGTGGGATAAAACTTTAATCGCAAAGTCTAATTAGGGTCTTTCCAGGCTGTGCGATCCCATGTAACAGCCACTAGCTACCTGTGGCTACCTAAATGTAAATTAATGCAAACTGAATTACAAACTCTATCCCTCAGTCACACTGGCTCTACTTCAAGTGCTCAGCGGCCCTATGTGGCTGGCTGGTGGCCACCATATTGGACAAGGCAAATACAGAACATTCCGACCATCACAGCAAGTTTTATTGGGTAGCATGGAAGAAAAAGCCTCGGTGAGTCACTGGGACAGATGGAGGACAGTGTGGCTAGGGCACATGGATGTGGAGAGTAGTAAGAGGGGAGGCTGGAGAACAGAGAGGCCACAGCAGGTGGGCTGTGGGAGCAGACTGGGTTTCGTTTTAGGGCAGGGAGAGGCTGGGAGGGATTTACCTGCAGCAGCAGGAAGACGAGCCACTTACTATGCAAGTGGGAAGCAAGAGTACCATCTGGGGTTAGCAATACAGCCAAGGGAAAGGGGGGCACTGGGGGACAGGGTTTTGTAGGAAGGACAGGAGAGCTGCCTCGCTAATGGACTGCGTTGGGCCTTGAGGAAAAGGGCCGGATCCTGGGTGACATTTGTGGACTAACCCGTGGTCCCCTCTGACACGTTTCAAATTCTCTAGTGGGTAAAGGGACTTTAAAGCCAACAACTAGAAGGCAAATGAGTTACCTGAAGGACCTCTATTGGCAATAGCTGTAGAATCAGTGACCCAAAACGCATGTACACGATTAGACCGACCTGCAGGGTGTTGGGAGCACAGCCTCTCACTCGCATCTGACCTGCGTAGAGATGACCTCGAATGTGAGATTTCCAGTTCTTCATCACGGAGGTGGAGGGGGACAAGGTGGAGGGTATCACACACCTATCAGGAAGGGCCTAACTTGATGCCGTGAAAGCAAAAGGGTAAGTGTAGCTAACGAGACAAAAACGAAACAGATAAACATAACAGTCTTGTTTCCTCAGAAGGGTCAAAAGATTTTGATACGAAATTTTAAGGATAAAAGCAAACCAAATTCTGGTTTTTAAGAAAGGGATTTATGTTCTATAAAAAAAAAAACTTTAGACAGAGAATAACTTGTACGATGGAACTCTGGTTGATTTTTAGGTATAATTTTTCAATTTAATAGCAGAGGTGAGAATGTGAAATATCATGATATAAAAGTGCATTCCAAATTCTTGTGACAAGAGCCCTCAAAGCCGGGAACAGGAGCCCCAGAGGTTAAGAGCCTCTTGGTGACCACACAAAATTGCACATAACACAGTTCAGACCACGGTCAACTTGGCCCAAGAGTTCTGGTACTTGGGGCAGGAGATGGAATGTTTTCCCAAAACATCTTGGAAATTACAGAAGTTAGCATGTCAGTATTTCTTTTTTTTTTTTTTTAATTTTTAACGTTTATTTATTTTTGAGATAGAGACAGAGCACAAGTTGGGGAGGGGCAGAGAGAAAGGGAGACACAGAATCTAAAACAGGCTTCAGGCTCTGAGCTGTCAGCACAGAGCCCGATGTGGGGCTCGAACCCGTGGACCGCAAGATCATGACCTGAGCTGAAGTCGGACGCTTAACCGACTGAACCACCCAGGCGCCCCATCATGTCAGTATTTCTGATGATGTGATAATCACCTTACTTGAAGGAGGGGAACCTGGGCTGTTGAAATAAAAATGGAAAGGGAGGCATATGAGGTTGGTAAACCAGGTTTCAAGAAAGATACCTTCCAATTCTGAGGGTCAGACATATTGTTGCATTTTAGAAAAGCCAGCTAATTTATTTGGACCATTTCCCCCAACTGAAAAACATGTATCCCATGATTCAAAATCTTAAAGGGCTCGTAACAGAGTGAAGGAAAGTCTTTGATAAAAATGAAGAAGTTTGGCTTTGAGAAAATAAGCAAAAAGGGGAGAACAGTTAAAATCCTATGCATTTCCACTTTAACCCCTGCAAATGCCATCCTGCTGTGCAATCCCGCAGAGCATCTCTGAAGGACCACTTTTGTGGTTTCAAAGTCTGCAGGTCGACCAGTTTGCTCAACCAGCATGAAGCTGAGAGTACAAAGAAAAGGGACAAATACATGGGGACTTTGCGTAGTGCCGTGTGACATATCTGCAGAGTTTCGGGAAGAGCCCTCGGACTGAATCTTTGGTCCCAGAGAAGGAGATGGGGCAAGGCCTGCCCTGGGCTGAGCGAGGACCACGGCTTCACCAGCTCCATGTCTTGGAAGAGTCATTCCCCGCCCAGAGCCTCACCTCCCTCCCCTGCGAAATGAGGACAGACACCCTCCGTGAGTGCGATGCTGGCGTCAGGAGAAAACTGACCTGTGAATGCCAAATCTGTTCATGAGATGGGGTGTGCCTGACGACGCAGACCCTTATTCCCTCCCCTCCTGGTGGCCATCAGATGAGACGAGAACGGGAGGCACGCTCAGTGGCTGTTGTGAAGCCCATGTCAGCGTGCGGACCGGCGTGTGTCCAAAGGGCAAGTCACCTCGATCAAACTAACAGCCGTGTTCTACCGAGCGGGGCACATAACTGCTGTGTCTGCATCACTAAGGTCAAGCACCGATGCCTGAGGCCCTGGCGTGCCAGCCCTTACATGAGATTTCAAGACAAGGAGTAAATAGCATGAAGTAGCAAACCGTTTCTCATCTGGAAATGGCAACAATGAACCCACTTTACTCACTGTCGTTTATGCTGTCTTGGAAAAAAAAAAGAAAAAAGAATCAGTCATTTTCTGAATGTTCTTATACCTGAAAGTGAAACTAGCTTGCAGAATAAAAACATACATGATCCAGTGTCAAAAACCGGTGATTGATAGAAACCACCCCGCATTTATTTTTTCCAACACAGAGGAAAAAAAAAAACACACGAAACAAAACATCGTTCTGTAATCCAGTGTTTGGGTCACTGGCAGATATGGCATCATTCACAATAGACAGATGTCCCTGGTGGGGAGTGCTGTGGTCCACAGTGACGGCCCACAAACGGCCCATCTTCAAATAAAATGGGGGTCGCACACGTGAAGGTCATGTGAGGGGAAAACAAGATGTCCTATCGCAATGGCACATGAAGGAGGTCTTCGAAAAATACCCAAATTTCTAAAAGGAATGGAGACGCTCCCGTTCTAGGATTGGTTTTGTTCCTTTTAATGCCTGATTTTTCGTTTGGGAAGTAAACTTTTTTGCTGTGAGGAAGGAGCCGATTGACGCTTGTGAGTGGAGGCCAGCAAGGCCACTGGCCACTGGGCACACTCTCCTGCCCTGATGTGGAGCTTTCTTCCCCGACAAACCCTCTTCCGTGATTTTTGTTATGGTTCAAAAAAGTAAAGAAAATGATTTCAAGTATTTCAATTTCTATCAAAAATTGGTATCAAAAGTAATAAAGGACCTAGTTTCTTTATAATTCCACGTTTTACAAAATAACTTAGGAAGCAAGAGGTCCGGCCCTTTACTTGTATAAATAACACAGCGTGACTAGAGTTTCTTAAGACAACGTGGAGAGGAGTCAGTGTTTAGCACCTCGATCATTGATCTTAACGTTGGGAACATCTCTGACACGGACGGGAGACTCTTATAAGAAGGTGAAATACTGCAAAAGAGAAACAAAGAAGGACTGTGAAAATTAACACAATGTCACCCAAGACGGCAAAGCTTGTATTTATTCCTATAGTAGTAGTACTCTCTTTCCAACAACTGCGCATGTGTAACGTCAGAGGAGCTGTGGACGGAATGGATGGTTCTAGAGTAGTGGGCTGGGATACCCATTGGCTCCCGGAACAAGCTGCTTGCAAAGTTTAGCCAGGATCTTCGGGAAGGAAAATTAAACTGTGACGTGCGCATGACTGTGTTACAAACATGTCCCGTCGCTGTGTGTGCTAGACTTGAATCAGAGACACAGGGCCCAGGGCGGCCTCGACCCTTATTGGCAAGGGTGCTTTCTCCAGCCCCTGCTCATGTCAGTAGCAACAGGCCAGTCTCCTTAACTCAGAATCACCCTGAGCACAGGAGGAGATCAGGAACGCCAAGGGCGCCTGCACATGGGAGGTAGTTGTTTATTCATTCCTTAAAGAACTGTTGAAGCCTTAGCATCGTGAACCCGTGGAAGGGATGGAAGCCAGATCTCTGCCCTTATGGTCCTCTTGCTAAAACACGTGGGAACTAGTAATCCTGAAGCGAGAAGGGCCTGGAACGAGGTGAGACGGTTCGCAGTGATCGTTAGAAAGCTAATAAAATACTTCGAAATTGAACAAGAGTGCACCACAGACGTGGATTTCTCTGAAAAAGAGCGCAAATTATCCAGCAATTTTTTGAGCGGCTGCTAGGTCTGATAGACGGGCAAGGCAAAACTGGAGGTGGTCATGACGTCAAAGACACGGAGAAGGAGCAAAAATAAGTGAGGTCAAACAGTGAGACGTGCTTGTTCTGTATGAACTACTCAAGCACCTAGGAGGTTCATTTTCATGCCAAATTTCCCAGAAACAAGAACCGGGAAAGGCAGGAGTGTGCGGGACTCCTCGCGGTAGTGCCGGAGGTGACGTCCGGTTAGCATTCCCGAGTACTGACTAACCACTCACACGTATTCCTCGCCTACGTTACAATGGAAAGCCGCCTTCTCGGAATCTAAACGCAGTCCAAATGTGGCTGACCAGGCAAAGTGCTCCCACTCAGAGCAAGTCTGAAATGGGTCTAGCTCACAGTCTTCAACCCCCTCCTGAAGACTGAATCTAGGTGTTTGGGATGAACCGGCAATTAGCCAAGAGAGACGGATATCTGGTTACATAAAGAAGACATTTGTAACTTTTCTTTCACCACCAGCTTCCTTGCCTTTTTGTCTGCGGACTCCCCCTTTCAGGGGTCTTACACAACCCCTTGCAACGTGGGTTACATTACACGCAGAGCGAGAACTCACAAAAGGGAGCATGGCTCCAGGCTCATACAGCTCCAAGAGAAGGACATCCCCTCCCCGCCCTGTAGAGGTAACATCCTTTCGTTGACCCCCAAGTAGTTACCTTTTCAGGTTCATCCAGCTTTTGGCTATTTTGCTAAAGGCTTCTGAGCCAGGGGCTGTCATAGCTTCAAAGTCAACTAACTGAAAAAGAAGGAAGTTGAGGAATGGCATTAGTACGGAGGAGAAAGGCTCATGGGGAGATCTGCTTACCTCCCGTACCGTACCGCCCAGACCCAGCCAGCACCTGCCCTTCCAGCCTCAACGCACCTTCCCTTTGGGAATTTTTCCTGCTACTTCTTTTCCACTTGCCATCAATGCTCCCACGATCACGGAGTAAGCTATGACACTGTTTAAACAAAGAACAGGTACCGGTCAGTCCCAGGCTACAAACAGGTATCGTGTGAAAGCTCACCGTGGATTTTCCACCATAAAAGGTGAAATTTTATTTAAGACTTCTTTAGAAATTAAACGTAAAAATATTTCATCTTAGGGGCACCTGGGTCGGGCTCTGTGCTGGAAGGGTGGAGTCTGCTTGACATTCTCTCCCTCTCTCTGCCTCTCCCCTGCTCACTCTCTGTTTCTCTCTCAAAATTAGTAAGTAAATTAAAAAAAAAATTTTTTTTAATTTTCTCTTAAAAGTATTTACTAATTTACTCTAATAAAAATAACTTATAGATTCAGAATTTTAAGAGTAAATGTGACCCAGAATGTTCTTTTTGTTTTTCAATACTTTTTTTTTGTTTTTTTGTTTTTTTTTTGTTTTTTTTTAATGTTTTATTTATTTCTAGGAGAGAGAGAGAGAGAGAGACAGCGTGAGCAGGGGAGGATCAGAGAGAGAGGGAGTCACAGACTGAAACAGGCTCCAGGCTCTGAGCTGGCAGTCAGCACAGAGCCTGACGCGGGGCTCGAACCGTGAGATCATGACCTAAGCGAAAGTCGGACGCTTAACCAAGCCACCCAGGCGCCCCAATACTTTTTTTTTTTGAAAGAGAGAACAAAAGGAAGAGGGCAGAGAGAGGGAGACAGAGAATCTCAAGCAGGCTCCACACTGTCAGCATAGAGCCTGCTGCAGGGCTCGAACCCATGAGCTGTGAGATCATGACCTGAGACAAAATCAAGAGTCGTTCAACCGAGCCACCCAGGCACCCCCAGAATATTCTTTTTCTGAGGAAAAAGTATTTCTTTTAATTATCAGGTTTCTTCCCACCTGGCTTTTCTATTCTGAAATAATGAATTAGGAGATGTGCCTGCTGCGATTTCTAGCAACTGCACCAGCCATGGCTTTTAAAATGTATATCTACAATACACTTTGTAATACACACATATTAATCTTATTGTTTAAGCACTGAAACCTCTGACCCCCAAAGAAGAAAAGCAGAACACATTCTCAGATTGTGCTAACAGCCTGCTTGGAAAATTGATGCGTTATATACATTTCCTTCCTGGCATGTGACAGCCTCACACTTGCTTCTGGCATATTTAGTACACACCGAGCGCATGTGCCCCTGTGCAAGGCGCCCTGGGCGAAGATAACCAGGACAAGGCTCTTGCCTCCAAGAGCGAGCAGCTGGGCTGGGGACACAGCACGAGAACTGCAGAGAAGGCCTCCATGTGCAGAGACTGAGGCCCAGGGGTCACCCACGGGGATGACCCCATGTAGGTCAAGGGCATGCCTGCAGGCTGCACCTTCAAGGCTGGGGCGGGGCAGAGGGGCAGAGAAGAAGGAATGGAACTGGCTGGTGCGGAGGGAGAGCACGTGTGGGCGTGAAGGTGTGAGGCATGGTGGGGGGGCGGCGTGCTGGACACGGCAGCGGGAGGACCACCGAAAAGCTCGGCAGGGCGGTAAAAGGGCAGATGAAGGAGGGCGGTGAGGAGGCTGCGGCAAACCAGGAGCGGACAGGACAGGCACCGTGAACGACCCTGAGTTTGCACCGGAGCCGCGAGGTGTCAGGAACTGGTGTGGAGATGCTGAATCACTGTATTGTTCACCTGAAACCAGGGTAACACTGTAGGTTGTCTGTACTGGAATTAAAAAAAAAAAAAAAAAAAAGAACTGGGGCAGAGAGGGGAAGGTGAAAAGTCTGGAAGCTGGGTGACTAGTCAGAAAGGTACGGGTGATGAGGGTCAGAACTGTGGCAGTAGCTGCGAGCAGAGAGGACAGACCCCATAGAATAAGGGACCTAACACATGCAGGCTCGCACAGCAAGAGCGCAGGTGATTTCAGCCGTATGTCACTCCCTTCCGGTGTCACCATGAACCAGCAGAGCCGCTGTGAGGACAAAAGGGAAAATGCCGAGTATCCGAGTGGAGCCTGTGTAAGTGACTGATAAAAGGGGACAGGTCTGGGGGCGCCTGGGGGGCTCAGTCAGTTAAGTGTCCAACTTCAGCTCAGGTCATGATCTCACAGTTCATGAGTTCCAGCCCCACATCGGGCTCTGTGCTGAGAGCTCGGAGCCTGGAGCCTGCTTCGGATTCTGTGTCTCCTCCTCTCTCTGTCCCCTCCCCCTCCACTTGCGCTGTGTCGCTCTCAAAATAAATAAACATTTAAAAAAGGGGGGGTGGGCGTGGGCACAGCACACACGCAGTGCACACACTGATAACATACGCTGAGGTCACAGTATTTACACTCCTGGTTTGTTTCCTTGCCTTCTCACACAACAAGACTTACTTCCACGTTTAGGAGACCTCTACTTTTAAAGCAGCAAAGATAGGAACATTCAGGTATAGTGTTTTAGCCAACACATCTTAAGTTCAAGAATGTGCCAGCAACAGCACATGCCTCTTCCACAGTCTACTACTGCACAGAGAATATATAAAAAACTCTGTAGACTCATCCTTCATTTTAATGACACCTGAAAAGCTCCTGATGGATTCATAAGTAGTACGAATTCGTTCACAAAAATAATAGTAGTATGGAAGGGTTAGTAGTCCAATGTATAAAACGGATGGACAAGAAGAGGGAGAAAGGGGAGAAGAAGGAAGGGTAACAGTCTGGGCAAATATCAGAAGTTAAAATGCAGTGAGTACAATGCATGCACATGGTAGGCCTTCAGTACATTTGCACTGAATGAGTGAATCTAACCTGTGAGACTTTTTTTAAAGATTTTTTAAAGTTTATTTATTTCGAGAGAGAGAGAGACAAAGAATGAGCAGGGGAGGGGCAGAAAGAGAGGAAGACACAGAATCCTCCCATCCAAGTACTAACCAGGCCCAACCCTGATTAGCTTCCGAGATCAGATGAGATCGGGCGCATTCAGGGTGGTATGGCCACAGACAGGGAGACACAGAATCCTAAGCAGGCTCTGCACTGTAAGCGCAAAGCCCCACGCAGGGCTCGAACTCAGGAACCATGAGATCATGACCTGAGCTGAGATCGAGTCAGACGCTAAACCAACTGAGCCACCCAGATGACCCCCTAACCTGGGTGAAAACTTAAGCAGACTATCTTAGAACAATCTTTCATAATTCTTTTGATGATGTGATAGATCAAGGAGATAATATCTGGGTAGATTTTGGAAAAAAACAAAAGGGAGTTTCTTGCCATTGCCTGGGGTATTTTTGTGCCCACCGTCACAAGCAGCACAAGCAAAAAAGAATATGTTTTTCAATGTAAAAACTTTTATTAAAAAATTTTTTAATTATAGGGTGTCACTCACCTGGATCCTCGAGAGAGTGGCATTAAATTATAAAAGTAATAAACTAAGGATAAGATTAAGTTGCAAACAGCATCGGCTTCCTAGAAAAAAAAAAAAAAGACACACGCTCGTGAATTTAAATACTAGGTTATAGACTAGTTTTTACAAGGCGACAAGACATAAGAATCATTCACGTCAAGGAAAGGATTATTTCATGCCTTCCTACAGGATCTGACTTTCACATTCTTGGATACTTTATACTCTTTGCTACTGCTTTTTCTTTCTTTCTTTTTTAAGTTTTTAAGTTTATTTATTTTGAGTGTGTGTGTGTGTGTGTGTGTGTGTGTGTGAACATGGGAGGGGGAGAAAGAGGGAGAGAGAATCCCAAGCAGGGTCCGTGATGTCAGTGCGGAGCCTGACATGGGGCTCAAATTCATGAACTGCGAGATCATGACCTGAGCCGAACCAAGAGTCAGGCGCTTAACTGACCGAGCCACCCAGGCGCCCACTGCCAATGTTTCCTCACGAAAGGGTATGTACACGGTTTGGTTTAGAGCAATAGTTTCTGGGCTGTTTTTAAATCTGAAACCTTTTCTGATAAACATAAAAATCTCAGCCTCCTTTAATGTTACTTGAAATGCCAAAATATATATTAAGATGAAAACAAAACAAAGTGCTTATTAATACTGAAGATGGTTTCTCCAGATAAGTGCACCCTCTGCGCTGAGATTTAGGCGATAAACACGCTTAATTACGTCAAAACCCGGAGGCTTCACTGTAGGTATGAACTGATTAGATGCACGAGAAATGAACGGACTTCCCAAGGACCACGGGCATCCACTCCAGAATGTGGACCAGGTGCATACAATACTCTCAGCACAGTGGTGGCTGCTGTCACCAAGGGGACAGGCCGCATCCTGCGTCCCAGGAGACCTCTCGAGTTGGGGTGGGGCCCGGAGGGAAGACGTCACAGACCAGGAAAGGCCCACCGAGTCCGGCAAGGGCCACTGTCACTATGGACCAACTTGTTCACTTCAGTCCTGAGAAAGCCCAGACTTACAGTAACTGTAGAAATGTATCATTGCTCTTCCTCAGTTAGCATCATTACTAAATACAGGAATTGTTTCTGTAAGAATATTAAAAAGAAGTATTTATAGGTCGTCAATGAAAACCAATCTCAAGCATAAGGGGCATAATACCAAAGAAAGGTTAGAGGCTTTGAAAAAGTTACAAAGGGCGGAGCCTGGGTGGCTCGGTCGGTTAAGTGTCCCACTTGGACTCAGGTCATGATTGTACAGTTCGTGGGTTCGAGCCCTGCATTGGGCTCTGTGCTGACAGCCCAGAGCCTGGAGCCTGCTTCGGATTCTGTGTCTCCCTCTCTCTCTGCCCTTCCCCAACTCATGCTCTTTCTTTCTGTCTCAAAAAAATAAACATGAAAAATTTTTTTTAAAAAAAGGTTACAAAGGAATCCTGGGACACATGGATAAAACGGAAAAAAACGAAGACCTACCCCAAATTCCGATGAAAGGATGAGTACTTTTCCTTTTGCTGTTAGATCTTTATAAAGCGCATCTATTTCAGCATGATATAATTGTGTCCTTTCTTCTGTGGTTTGTGTTTCCACAGAAAACAGTATGTTGCCAACCCTAAAAATACAACAGTATGTGTCAGAGGCGCCTATTATCTATACAATTCAAAGAGCCAAACACAGAAAGTAAAAAAAAAAAAAAAAAAAAAAAGGAAGGAACCAGTGTGCCAATGTGGCACAAGACATATCTGAGAGTGTATCCTACCTGTCCAACTACAGACAGATTGAGGTATGTTCTGTAAGCATGTGATTTTTTCATAAAATACAGTATTTTGTTCAGTCTAACCATGGGCACACATAAAGGAGCTTAAACTAAGATGGAAGGAAACAACCACACACAGTAAAAATGATTGTATGGCAAATATTTTCTCAGACAGCCAGCCTATTATGACTGAAGATTAGGGGCCAGAACTGTGTGTAGAAGTTCAAGGACTCCATGGTGTCTTTTCAAGCTTTTGCTGCATGCCTGGCTGCACGGCAGGTGCTACAGAGGACAGAAATTTGATGCAACTGGCATTTATTATATAAATAAATAGTTCTTAGATCTTGTAAAGAGGAACGCAGCACAGCTGCTGCATTTACTGGGAAAGGGGCAGAGCCCTGAGGCGGTGAATTATGACCATATGCAGGGCAATCACATAGACATCAGGCTTCAAAAGAGGGAGATTAGGTCTAATTTGGAAGACATGGATGAAAACAGGAAATGCTTCATGGAGGAAGGGGCTTGAATTTGAAAATCAGGACGGGAGTGACAGAGGCTCAGAAGCAGGGGGTGGGAGGTGACTGCAGGGAACAAGCAGCCTAGCTGAATCAGCGGCACAGTTCAAGCAGGAAACGTTGCTCGTTGCTCGAGGCCACATTATGAAAGGCCTCTCACGCCTAGCAGGGGAGCAGGCCATGGAGGGTCTGCACTGGGGAGCTACCAGGAGACAGGGGATGGAGATACCAGTCTTGAGTCTATCTGAGGTGCTGGAGCCCAGAGTGAGAAGTAAATCAATGCGGTAAAAGAACTAAGGAAAGGAGGCCACATTTCTGGTGGGGTGGTGGTGGAGGGGGGGGACCTCATGTGCTCTTTCACACAGCCATTCCGTTTCCGCCTGGAGATTTCATCTGAGGAGATATCTATCTCATGAGTGGGTGGAAAGGCAGGAGAGTGATTCTTGCATTAAGAGCAAACCCTGGAATTCCTTCTGGGGAGGGGAGTGTGATATTTATTGGGAAAGAACTGTGATAAGGGGTTTGGGGTAGATCGAGACTCAAGGATATGGAAAAGACACACTCTGGAAGTTGCTAAATGGGTGTTTGCTCACGAAGACCTGTGCAGGTTTTGACACGGAACCCGACAAAGAGGCTGTGTTGGGTTTGCGACTAAAAGCGATGAGAAAGCAGGAGCCAAGAAGCAGAGGAAGGAAGGTCATAGCCCCATAGCTGAGCTGGCAGAAATCATGCCAGAAGTCTCCATGCAGAAAGCATGGAGGCTTGCAGGCTAAGCAGCTAAGGGATGTGTGCTGTGGGGGAGGGCACGTGGGGCGATGCACCCAAAATTCAAGGGATATGGAGGCTCCTATGTGATGCTTAGAGTTCAGATATAATTAAGACTGGTTAATGACAATGGACACTGCAGTGCTATTTATAAAGTGAAAAATGAGAAATACTCTAAATGGTCAGCAACAAAAAATTAGTAAGAAAACTCAAAAAGATCCACAAGATGGAATCCTGTGCAATCATTACAAATGCTTGTAAGAATATGAGAAAGTGTTCACAATACGGTAATGCTAAGGGTAGAAAAGAAACAGGTTATAAAACAATGTGAAGTACAATCTCAGTTTTTTAAAGAAAACAACCTAATGATCGAAAATCTTACAATGGCCTTCCATCTGCCAATCTCTCATCTTTCTTCATTTTATTACGAAGCGTGTTGCCCACAAGGAACTTTAAGAACCCAGAAGAATGCTTTCCACAAACCACATTAGACGTTACACTTAATATCTAGAAAGTTGTTAGATCCAGCACAGTCAGAATATCTGCTGGCGTAATATTCTAAAAGCCGTGTTAAAAACATAACTGTTACAGCTGCACACTAGAACTTGATAATTCTTATTTCAGGATAAAGCAAAAGTCTGGTAGGTCTGACCTCCCATGTGGCAATATCAGACACACGTGCACTTTCTGACACCAGCCCGCCTTTACACCCACACTTAGGAAGCATACATACTTGTCTCCTGTAATCGTGATTGTGAATCCATCGTATTCCTTCCCTTGATCTTTGAGGCTGGGAACTTTTGTGTTCACGGTGAACCCATCCTTCGTTTTAGTATTAAACTGCTTTCAGGGAAAACAAATTCACATTACTAGGGTATAACTCATTGGAACCCCCTAACTGCTATTCTGGAGCATTGACTCTGACTTCCATGGTTTTTTTTTTTTTAAGTTTATTTATTTACTTATTAGAGAGAGAGAGACAGTGTAAGCAGGGGAGGGGCAGAGAGAGGAGAGAGAATCCCAAGCAGGCTTGGTGCTGTCAGTGCAGAGCCTGATGCGAGGCTCGAATTTATGAACCATGAGATCATGACCTGAGCTGAAACCAAGAGTCAGATGCTTAACCTACTAGCCACCCAGGCACCCCCCACCCCCGGATTACCATGTTTTTAGGAAAGGCCACAGAAGTTCCTGACGCAAGAGACCGTGACCACACACACCTCTCCAGTGACCGAGGATGCCTCTGCCAGTCCCCACGGCCCCACACAAAGCCCAGGGCCAAGCTGCACTGCATAGGACCCCACGAGAGATTCTGTCATTAGAACAGAAAGATGCTTCCCAGATTCAGTTTTTTAGTGTTGCCAACTTTTTTGTTCAGACTGATAGGGAACCAAGGATAAAATAAGAGGAGGCTGTGCTTCACATAAGCCACTACTGGGGGAAAGGTTGTCTAAAATAGGCATACCCAGCAGGTGGTCACCGGTGGTCCAGAGAAGGACCATGGACAAACCGACATGAGGCCCAGGTGATCAGAGCCAGCACTGGGAACGGGAACAGGAATTCTCCCATGAAGAGAGGGCTTTTATTTATTTTTAAGTTTATTTATTTTGAGAAAGCGAGTGTGTGCACTTGAGCAGGGCGGGGCAGAGAGAGACCGAGAGAGAGAATCCCAAGCAGACTCTGTGCTCAGTGCAGAGCCAGGTGTGGGGCTCCATCTCACAGGTGGGGAGATCATGACCTGAGCCAAAATCAAGAGTCAGACGCTGAACCAAATGAGCCACCCAGGCACCCCAAGAATGGGCTTTTAGGGAAGAAGTGTGTTAACATTCACTTCCCAAGGAAGATACAGTAACAGCACTGTACTGCATTTATGGATAAAATAGCCACATACGTGGTCTCATGCAGTTCAAACCCATGTTGTTCAAGGGCCAACTATACTTTAACTTGGTTTGTCACTGAAAGTAGATTTCAGCAGAAGCTGTCAGGGCCTGATGTCGTACCAAGCACTGTAGAACCAAAGGGATTTTATATACTTCTATGCGTGCCCTTAAAAATGCCATATGCCCACCATCCCGGGTGAAAGCTGTGTGTCCAGGGCGGCAGTGGAATGGTCACTTCCAGACCACAGTTAGACAGGCAGGGCCCTTGCACCGGGAGGCTGGCGCCGGGGGGCGAGGCATGGCCTCTCGGCTGCAGCCTGAGTAGCTGAGGCTTGGAGGAGTCCACTAAGCGTTTCTTTTTAAACAAAGAGATACACATAATGTTAAAATCCTGCTAAGTTGATTTGGTATTCTTCCCAAAAGAGTAAACTGAAAAGCCTAAAGTACCAACAAGAAAGAGGAAGATTAAAAACTAAGACATGCGCCTGTTTTCTTTCCCTACAGGACATCCCAGCAGCCCTCAGTGGAGCGGTTCTGCCCTCTGGGGGGCATCTGGGGAATTTATGGGAGAGTCTGGTGGCTACAGCATGGGGGTGGTGGGGAGGCTACCACTGGAACTTAGCGGCGGGGGGGGGGGGGGGGGGGGGGGGGGGGGGGGGGGGAGGCTAAGAACACTAGATGTCCCTCAGTTTAGGGGACAGTCATATGTTATGCACGACTGCCCATGTCCCACTGGACTTTCACATAGATGACTAACCTGTTTATAATTTAATGATTACTGCATGGCTCAGTCGGTAAAGTGCTGGACTTTGGCTCAGGTCATTATCTTGTGGTCTGAGTTCGAGTTCTGCATCGGTATCTGTGCTAACAGCTCAGGGCCTGGAGCCTGCTTCAGACTCTGTGTCTCCCTCTCTCTCTGCCCCTCCCCAACTCTCGCGTGCATGCGCACTCTCTCTCAAAAATAAAATAAACATTTGGGGTGCCTGGGTGGCTCAGTCATTTAAGCGTCCGACTTCAGCTTGGGTCATGATCTCACAGGTCTTGGGTTCGAGCCCGTGTCGGGCTCTGTGCTGACAGCTAGCTCAGAGCCTGGAGCCTGTTTCAGTCTGTGTCTCCCTCTGTCTCTGCCCCTCCCCTGCTCATGCTCTGTCTCTCTCTCTGAAATAAATAAACATCAAAAAAATTTTAAATAAACATTAAAACATTTTTTAATAATAATACAATATTTACTTGAGCCTAGAACCAGACTCCATTTCACACTTAGACACTAAATATTTGTTACATAGTTTTGAATCCATACTGAATTTTCCATGAATGCAAATAGCACACCCAACTGAGGAAAGAGGGTATTAGGCACTGTTTGGAAGTTTACCATTTCAGAAAAACTATGTCACCAGCAACAGTGTAGGTCATGATATTGGAGTTAGCAAATAACACTGATGTGGGATTGCATTCGTAGCCACCATGTTCATCACTTTACCCGCACATGTAAGCGACCGACTACTTCTTCCTGATTCTTGTGAAGACATGCCTGACTCTGACATCCTAAAACACACGCTATTCTATTACAAATGGTTTCCCCTTTACACCTCCTTTGTGGCACTACGTTGACCTTTAAAAAAAAATTTTTAGGAAGGTGTGATCTACTCTCTATGAATCATTTGAATGCAGTGAAGAAGGCATTTAAACATGGTTGCTGGTTACTAAATTAATATTAGAGTACCTTTTTTTAAAGTTTATTTTCAGAGAGAGAGACAGAGAGAGGCAGAGGGAAAAAAGAGAGAGAGAGAATCCGAAGCAGGCTCCAAACTATTAGTGAGGAGTATAGGAGCCTGACGTGGGGCTTGATCCCGCAAACTATGAGGTCATGACCTGAGATGAAATCAAGAGTCGGACGCTTAGAAGACTGAGCCACCCAGGCACCCCGATACTACTGTAGCTTGGAGAAGGTAGGGAACCACTGCATCAGTTCATCAGGCACTTGCAAGAACCCCTGAAATTAGGTCTGGCCAGAATTATTGCTCTTAGCAGACAAGAGCCTGGGGCTTAGTGGAAGAGATGAATGTGGACCCTGGTGTACAGAGTATTAGCTCACTGCTTTGTTCATGACCTGATCCTTCCTGCTCATTCCTTAGAGATGGATAAGGTCAGAGGGCACCTGGGTGGCTCAGTTGGGTGAACATCTGACTTCAGCTCAGGTCATGATATCATGGTTCATGGACATGAGCCCCATGTTGGGCTCTATGCTGTCATGGTGGAACCTGCTTCGAATCCTCTGTCCTCCTCTCTCACTGCCCCTCCCCTCTCACACTCTCTCTCACAAAAATAAACATTAAAAAAAAGAAAGAAAGAAATAGAGGGGCACCTAGATGGCTTAGTCAGTAAAGCACTGGACTCTATTTCTGCTCGGGTCATGATCTCACAGTGCCTGAGTTCAAGCCTGGCATTGGGCTCCACTCTGGTGACATGGAGACTGCTTGGGATTTCTCTCTCTCTCTCTCTCTCTCTCTCTCTCTCCCCCCCTCCCCCATTCACTCTCTGTCTCTCTCTCTCAAAATAATAAACTTAGAAAAAAAAAAGAAATGGATACATTCTGGATCCATATCAAATGGATACATATCAATTTCTTAAATTTTATCTGATGTACATCAAGCCTCTCTACTATAGCTACAAGGAGAACACAGTTTTACATTAAAGTTCGAACCATTAATTGAAAAACAAATCCACCTTCTGTTGCCAAATTTTTGAGTAGTTATATTCTGGGGTAGAGAATATGTTCGTAGAATTGTAACTTCTTAATAGATTACACTTTTAAACAATGATTTCTGGCCCCTTAAGTATACTTCATTTTGAATTACAATGTTCTGATAGTGACGTTGCTACACGCACATTATCTTTTCGTTAGCATTTGCCTGGTATACGGTTCTCCCTGTAAACAGCATAGAGCTGGCCTTTAAAAACCCAATCCCAGATCCTCCGTCTTTCACTAAGGGGATCATGTTGACTTGTCACTGCCATTACATACATTTCCTACCCCACCCTATTTTTTTTATCCCCCTCTTTTTCTAAGCTTTGAGTTGAATTGACTTTGTTATCTTTATGCCATTTCCCAACATTCTACAGGTTTAGATGATATGGTCACATCTCTGTTGTTTCACTGTTGGCCTTTAAATGTTTAGTATGGATATTTAAACATGTATTTTTCTGTCAGTATCATGGGTCAGTCAGTGATTATATTGTCTCACTGAAAAAAACAAACCTTAGTAACAGTTTTACTCTCTTTCTCTACTTTCTTTAATCTCTAATGTTGACAGGATCTAGTATTTTAATTTCAGACATACATGTTTTTAAACATCAGGTGTTACCAATCCATTTCATTGGTTTATTTGTTTACCATGATTTCTTACATCTCATGTTTTCTTCTCTCTTGGGCTTATTTTATGAGAGTATAGATGCCCTTCAATCATTTTGACAAAGAAAATCTATGCTTGATGAAATTCCTAAATAACTGTATGTTTGAAACAGTTCTTATCTTAGCCTCACACCTGAACACTGATAGGTTCAAATAAATTTCCCTTTGTTGTCTTCTAGAATCTACTACTGCTGGAAGAAAGTCAAGCATCAGCGAAATTCTCCTTCTTTAGTTTTTTGTTTGTCTGTTTCTTTACTGGAAGCTTGAGGATGTTCTTTTTACTCTTTGTGTGTTAAAATGTATATAACATAAAATTTACCACTTTAACCATTTGTCAATGAATAGATCAATGGCATTAAGAACATTCTGACCTCATCAAGATAAATAGCTTCTGCACAGTGAAGGGAACAATCAGCAAAACTAAAAGGCAACCGCCAGAATGGGAGAAGATATTTGCAAACAACATATTGGCTAAAGGGTTAGTATCCAAAATCTATAAAGAACTTATCAAACTCAACTTATCAAATTCAACAAATAATCCAGTGAAGAAACAGGCAAAAGACATGAATAGACACTTTTCCAAAGACATCCAGATAGCTAATGGACACATGAAAAAATGTTCATCACTCATCATCAGGCAAATACAAATCAAAACCACAAGGAGATACCACCTCACACCCGTCAGAATGGCTAACATCAACAGCTCAGGCAACAACAGATGTTGGCGAGGATGCGGAGAAAGAGGAACCCTTTTGCACTGCGGGTGGGAATGCAAACTGGTGCGGCCACTCGACAACAGCATGGAGGTTCCTCAAAAAATTAAAAATAGAGCTACCCTATGACCCAGCAATTGCACTACTAGTGGAATGTTACTCGGCGAACAAAAAGAATGAAATCTTGCCATTTGCAATGATGTGAATGGAGCTGGACTGTATTATGCTAAGTGAAATGAGTAAGCCAGAGAAAGACAAATATCATATGACTTCACTCACACGTGGAATTTAAGATGAACATAAGGGAAGGGAAGCAAAAATAATATAAAAACAGAGTGGGAGGCAAACCATAAGAGATTTCTAAATATAAAGAACAAACCGAGGGTTGCTGGAGGGGTGTTGGGTGGGGACGGGCTAAGTGGGGGATGGGCATTAAGGAGGGCACTGGTGATAGGCACTGGGTGTTACATGTAAGTGATGAATCACTAAATTCTATTCCTGAAGTCATTATTACTCTATATGTTAACTAACTTGGATTTAAATAAAATAATAATAATAAAAGAAACCAACATTCACATTGTTCACCACCAACCATCCACAGAACTTCTTTCATCATCCCGAATAGAAACCCTGTCCCTGTTAAACATTAAGTCTCCATTCTACCTTCCTCCCCCAACCCCTGGCAACCACCTTCCTACTTTCTGTCTCTATGAACTTGACTACTCTACACACCTCACAGAAGTGGAATCACAGGGTATTTGTCCTTTTGCGACCGGTTTATTTCACTCTGCATGAGGTCCTCAAGCTTCATCCATGGTGTAGCCTGTGTCAGAATTTCCTTCCTTCTTCAGGCTGAATAATACCCCATCATGTGGCCATGCCACATGTTATTTGTCCATTCACCTGTTAATGGACACTTGGGTTGCTTCCGTCTCTTGGCTACTGTGAACAATGCCACCATCAACATGGGGATACAAATATCTGTTTGAGTGCCTGCTTTCAATTCTTTTGAATATACGCCTAGAAGTGGAGTTTTGGGGTCTTATGGTAATTCTATGTCTAATTTTTTATCTTTATTTTTTTGAGAAGGGGCAAAGAGCAGGGGCAGGGGGAGAGAGAGGGAGAGAGAGGGAGAGAGAAAGACAGCGAGAGAGAGAGAGAATCCTAAGCAGGCTCCATATTCAGCGTGGCAATTATGACTGGAGCCAAAATCAAGAATCAGACTCTCAACTGACTGAGCCACCCAGGCGCCCCTCTACATCTAATTTCTTTGAGGAACTCTCTTTAATCTTAAAGTCCCCAAATTTTATCAGAATGTGTCTAGGTGTCAATATTGAGCATCATGCTGAACATCTAGGAGGCCCTACAATGATCTTTTCATCTCTCCACAAGCTGTCTTTCTATTATTTTGTTGACTAACTAGTCTGTGTCTTTATCTTTCACCTTTCTTCTCTCCTTTCTGATTTCTACTAGATAGGTCCATTCTTCATCTTCTGTGTTCATCATCTCTCTTATTTTATATTCCTTTGTCCTTGAATACTATATTCTGGGAGAATTTATTGATTTGATTTTCCAGCTCACATATATTTGATATTCAACTGTCTTTAATCTGCAAGTCTAACTAGCTGAGGTTTTTTTTTTTTTAATTCATGAGAATTCTATTTCTTTTTTATTGCTACTATCTACCTACCTATCTATCTATCATAAGATACTGGCTCAAGTCTCTTATACATACAAGTATGTATGTTTTATTGAGGTAACAATAAACTTGACACGTGTAATTTGATGCATTTTGACAAATATATCCACCCATGTATATCCACTATTCCAGTCAAGATATAGTGTAGTTTCATCATTCTGGAAAGTTTCCTCCTACTCCTTTCAGGGAAACCTCACTCCGCAGAAGCCATCACTGTTCTATTATTTCCCTAGACCAATGAAACTTCTTATAAATGAAATCATACTCTTTTTATGTGACTTCCTTTGCCCCACACAATGTTTCTAAGGTTCACCCCTGTTGCTGTGTGTTAGCAGTACCCCTTCTCCGTATTATTACTGGGCAGTGTTCCATCTCTGGCCTCCCCTGAGAAACGACAACCGACCCTGGGAAGCCCTCCTGATCTGGAAGACAGCCTGAGCACTGGACACAGGAAAAGCTGAGCACTGGCACACAGACCTCAGGCCATATGCAAAACTCAGTAGTGGCTTCTCTGACACCACTGACTTTCGCAACCTCCAGTTTTCGTTTGGTTCTCTGTACAGCTTCCATGTTCCTGCTCAGATCCTTCATCATTGTGCTCATTTTTTTCTTTAAGTCCTCAAACATGTTTATGAAGCAAAGACTTTAAAAGAGTTAATTGCAACTTCTGGGTCTCCTGGGGTCTGTTCCTGTGAACTGGTTTTGTTTTTCTGGGTTATGGGTCACGTTCTCCTGCTTCTTCATTTATCTAATAATTAAGAAGTCTAGATTACGGTTCCTTCCTTTAAAAGGTGTTGAGTTTTGTTTTGGCAGGCAGGCCAATCACTAGCAGATCCACTTAATCCTTTTAGGTTTGGTTTTATTCTCTGTTAGGGCGATCTATTTAGAAATTGTCCTTCAGGGCACCTGGGTGGCTCAGTCGGTTAAGCATCCAACTTGGGCTCAGGTCATGATCTCGCGGTTTGTGGGTACGAGCACCGCGTGGGGCTCTGTGCTGACGGCTTAGAGCCTGGAGTGTGCTTCGGATTCTGTGTCTCCCTCTCTCTCTGCCTCTCCCCCTGCTCGTACAGCTGTTTCTCTCTCAGGAAATGAATAAATGGAAGGAAGGGAGGGAGGAAGGAAGGGAGGAAGGGAGGAAGGGAGGAAGGAAGGAATTGCCTTTTGCCCTGGAAAGTGGACCTCATTCCAGGTGGTCTTATACCTACAGTGTGTCCTTTCTGGGGTTGTGAGTAAATAAATGCCCAAGGTGCTCGCAGGGTCCCTCCATTCTGGCAAGGCCACAACCCCAAAGCCTCAGTGGAGTAAAACCACTGACAGCTCCGTTCGGCTCTCACGCCCGCAGCAGCCACGGTCTGCGGGGCCTCTCAGAGTCTACTGCGTGCACGGAGCCCAGCTCTAATCCAAGTGTGACGAGGAACTCGAGGAAGTCGCAGGCTGACCTGTGGGTGCTCCTCGCCTTGAGCGGCATCCTCCCCTTCTGTCCTCTGCCCTGAAACTCCAGCCACGTTGGCAGACCCCCACTCCAATCTCTGCCTCTTTCGCTCGGCAGGACCACCACACTCTGTTTAGGCTCCACATACATGGTGGTTTAGTAAATAATCCCAGGTAGGACTCTGGGGTGAACACAGAGCTCACCTAAAGGGTTTCCCGTTTCTCAAAACTCACAGTCTTGTGACACACTTGAAGACAGTGGCCTTGTACTTTGTTGAGTTTTATAACTTATGGTGTGGGAAAGCGGTCAAGTGTCAGGTACTCCACTGTGGACAGAAGCAGAATTCAACAGTGTATACTTTTAAGTGTCCTTCCGTTTCCTAGATCAACTGCTTCCTCACAGATTTGTTTTTATGTTTGAGACTGATGCCTGTGTTTTAGGTGATTTGGGTTATTATTCAGAGTGTGTTTACATTAGTGTTTTCAGGTAGAATGCTTATAATTTTAAAATGCTTCTAGCATAATATTAAGAAACATGCACGTAACAGCTATGAGTTCTTTTTTAAAAAGTGCTCTGGTTCTATTTTTTCCCCCAAAACACCTACCAGGATTCTGATGATAAACTTACCTTCATAATTGGCAGGAGGTCTTCAACTTTGTGCACCTTTTCCAGAGCCTCTCGAACTTCCAACAGTCCTTTAGGATTATTAGCTCTTAAAGAGAGAAACAGATAGAGAAAGAGGGAGACAGCAATTAAAGTGAATGCAGAAATGTAATAATTAAATATATTAATTGCTATTATCTTTAACTTACATAAATCCTCAATATTCAAAATGGTGGGCCAGAACAAAAGTTTCTAAATATTGGGAGGGTTTAATCCTAATGAATTTGGGGCCGCAGATGAGAATTAAGAAAACAGACAGAAGCCCATCTAGAAGGTAAAACAGGGAGAAGCAGACCAGACTGACAGCCAGTGGTCGTATATGCATGCATGCATCTTAGTTTGGTCATGAAGCCTTGATTCTCCTAGGCCAACTCTGAAATTAGAAGTGAATGTTTTTGTTTGTTTTGTTTTTTTCCTTTCTACAGCTGCTCAAATGGAAGTATAAAATCCTGCTAGGTTTTTATACCAATTTTATATTCAGGTGAGAGAGAATGAGCATTACGGCTGAAATCCCTAATAAAGAAATTCAAAGAAACGTCCTGCTTTTCAGAGGAACGAGATGAGAAAAGCCACAATATCGTAAGATTAAAACATTTCAGGGATTCTGTAAAGAAAAAGAAGGATGGTACATCATTACTGAAAGGCTTTATGACTCCAAATACTACGTCAACATTTGATAGACTGTTTGGTCTGTCAAGAGGCTTAGTTTTCAAGTTCACAAATACGACTACCGTACACTCTCAAAGCGAGCAAGTACTGTGAAAAAGAAAATTGAAGGATTACCCGTGATAAACCAGAATTCTATCTTTAATAAAATGAAGGATTTTCTCAAAATATTCCAGGTATCTCATGTTAATCACCTGGCCCCTGAAAGAAAAAAACAATTAAGAATCTTTTTACAAAGGAATGTATTGGAAACAACATCTACCTTCCAAGTTAACTCAAAAGAACAGTAAGAGAGCTATGAGAATAACGTAGCAAAAAAATCTGGAAACTGCTTGTTTGTAACCAGTGAGGGGAAGAAGCAAACAAGTATCTTGGCAGAATCATCTGTCAGCTCTTGCAGCTTTTCCTGGTAGGAGAGGCACCAAACTCAGGCCCGGAGATGCCAAAATGGGAAGAAAACTCCTCAAGTACTTCTATGACGGTCAGACTTATGCCAATTTCCTTCATGAATCCCTGGACTTTTTTCTCCTCTCCTTTGATTCTCCCATAGCATTATCTGCTACTGCTACTTCCTGTGGTCCAGCTCACACGCAGCCTTCATCTTCTCGGCCCACTCTAAATATTATTTTACTCCGAGCGCCTCGGTGGCTCCATTGGTTAAGCGTCCGACTTTGGCTCAGGTCCCGATCTCACGGTTCATGGGTTTGAGCCCCACATTGTGCTCTGTGCTGGCAGCTCAGAGCCTGGAGCCTACTTCAGATTCTGTGTCTCCCTCTCTCTGTCTCTCTCTGCCCCTCTCCTACTAGTGCTTTGTCTCTCTTTCTCTCAAAAAATAAAATTTAAAAAAACTATGAAATATTATTTTACTCACATTTCCGTCCCCACCTCCTAGTTTTCAAACTCTCTCCCAGAACTTCACGTACAGCCAACATGCTGATGTACGCATCCAACTGGCACACGCATGTGCAACACGCTGCACACCCAACCGCTCCCTGGGCATCGCTCCCCAGATTCCCTACAGACCTCTCAAACCTCAGGTTCTTTCATAACTCTGCACAGGAAGTCACTCCCTCCCCCAGCGCCAGCCCCCAAATGTGGCCATCTCCTTTCTGTCCTGTTGTCACCTGGCCTACTGGAAGGACCACGCCCCCGAGCCGGAGAGGAGACTGCCTCCCTGTGGGTCCCTATGCTCTCCCCCATTTCTAGCCCAGCATCAGTGCTCCTGATCCTGCATTCTCAACATCCATCTCTTCCGCTCCCCCTCACTTCCATACTTGTTCACCTGAACTGTTACATGATTTTCCAACCACTTTGCTTCCCTCCAGGGCCACCACCCGCTCTCACCTATTCCACCACCCACGGTCAAAGTGGTCATGTGAGTGTGCAAATCCACTCTGTCATGTCTCTGCTTACAGTCTCTGAATAGTCTCTGAATAGCTCTCCATCATCCTTAGCAGATAAAAGAGAAGCCTTAAAGGGTGTATACAGTTACTTATATTTTGAAAGAAGGTTTTACACTTTGGTCTCTGCCTGCCTGCCTTTCAAGCACCAATTCCTTTTTTTTTTTTTTTTTAATGTTTATTTATTTTTCAGAGAAAGAGAGAGAGAGCACAGGCAGAGGAAGGGCCAAGGGAGAGAAGGAGACACCGAATCCGAAGTAGGCTCCAGGTGCCGAGCCGTCAGCACAGAGCCTGACACGGGACTTGAACTCACAAACCGCAAGATCGTGACCCGAGCTGAGCTCAGACGCTTAACTGCTTAACCAACTGAGCCATCCAGGTGCCCCTCAAGCCTAAATTCCTAATACTCCCTTCATTGCCAACTAATCACCAGTCATAGTGAATTAGTCACACTTTTCTGACCATTCCTGACTCACTCGTGGGTCCATGCCTCACCCACCTCTCTGCTATCCATCTTCCCAACCAGCCCACGCATCACCTAAGGGCCGGACTGGGCACCCCTTTTCTGTGACCCCTGCCATCCTATACACGTGACCACCATTACCCTCAACATACCACATAGCAGTTCATCAGTCTATCTTCACTAAGCTAAGAGCTTCTGTATTTCACTCCTACACCACCATCACGCAGCACAGCACACTCACAGCAGCCATCAATTAAATCTAGTGGAATCTATAAATGTCACAAATTATTTTGTAATAAACAAGAATACCAAGTCCCAAAAGGAAAAGAAATTTATTTTCTAGATAGTAAAAAACATATATATATATAACTGACATTTCCACTAAACTTAAATGTCAGAGTCATACAAAACGATATTTTCTTGATTCGGGCTTCTGGAAGTAGAAGCATTTTACATGTGACCCAACTACCGCAGTTGTTAATTTCATCTGAAAGCAAATTCACAGCTCCCCTTGAAGCCGATGTTCTTTAGCGTTTGTTCATCACTTATTTAGAGGGTGGCTAAGCACACGAAGGTGGCTCGCTACGCCTGTCCCTAACTTGCAGAGCCTCTGCACAAAACACAAGCTCTCCTTTTTCCCTGGCTCACGCTTTCAGGAAGGCTTAGCTACCAGAGTGGTACTGATCCAAACCCTCTGTATGCTGGGGTGTTGGGGATGGGATGGGGGGAGCCCTTCCCCCACCTAATTCCTGTCCAAGAATTATATGAGCCACGCAACACGATCGGGATATTATGGTAAATGTAATGGTCTCTGTACAATTACTTTCTAGAATGTGTTAAGACCCTTTAAAGATGGACATTCTGGGTAAAACTCTGGCAGTCTTCCTGGAGAGGGAAGTATGACATGCCCTGCATTTCTTCCTGTAGCTGGGCTCGCCCTAAAGAGTGCAGGCAGGACCCCGCAGGTGCAGAGCTAATCTGTGCGTGCCCCTGTAAGAAAGTTCCTGGGAGAGGAGCAAGGGTCATTCGTCCACAGTCTCCACAACCTGTTTATTCAGAACAAAGTCCCGAGAAAACAGGAACAATGTACAATGGGTTCCTACCTGATTAAATTGATGTGGTTGTTAAAACCTCTGCTAAGACTCCGTGCTGGCATCTGGTCTAACCACAGCACTGGCTGGTCCGGGTCGGCGATCCTGGAAACCAGAGCTGGTTAAAGATGGACACCTTACAAAACCTAGAAATGTTCAAGAACATGAACAAGAACACATGGGGAGCCTTTGCAAAGGCGGGAGAAAGCAAGTGCTCAGCCCAGTACATCTAACAGTCCCACACCAGCCTGCCGACCCCAGTACATCTAACAGTCCCACGCCAGCCTGCCGACCCCAGTACATCTAACAGTCCCACGCCAACCTGCTAACTTCAAATAAATGTTCCAATTGGACCAAGAAGGAGGTCAGTATGGGTTTACTGGAAGAGCAATAGTTTTCTCACGTCCATGAATATAAGTAGCTCTGCCCAAGCTGTAGCTGGTTAGCTAGGCACACACTTTAACTATCAAGGGACTAGTACACGACAGTTCATTCACAAGTACACCCGAGATAGTAACGTTCTTTCAAAGAAACGAAAATGCTTCGTTTAAAAGTATGCTAGAAAACTTGACAGTAATATTTCGTAAACATCAGCTCAATGTATTTCAACATATGATGATGCCAGCAATTTCTGACAAACTGTAGAGAGGAAAATGTAGCGTACAAGGCGTATTGTTAGTAAACAAAATGGGATGGGAAACCTGTTAACTCGGGGGGAGGTACAGTCTTCCCGTTATGGAATGAATAAGTCATAGGGATGAAAGGGACAGTGTCAGGACCACCGTCGAGGCTCCCGTAATGGTGTTGTGTGGGACAGACAGGAGCCACATCGTGGTGACCAGAGTGTAACAAACAGATCTGCCGAGACTCGTGTAACACGGTACATCGGCTACCCTGTTCATAACCACCTGTTCGCTAGAGGAGGCTTCTCTTACTTTACAATGATGACACTTTTGGTTTATTTTCATTTAGGTGGGAGTTTCATTCGTTACCGTCTCCACTTTACTGCAATGTCAAACATGTCTCTCCATTGCATCAGCCGCGTCTTCCCATTCATCCGCACTTTCGAGTTGGTCCACGTGCGCTGCACAGCTTGCATGACTTCCAGCGCTGCCAAGCCCATGGCTAAAAGAAGGAGGTATTGAGAAGACAGGGGTTTGTCAGTACACTTCCGGGGGCCTGATGTTCACCTACTCTGCAGAGTCTCAGGGATAACCTGAGTCACCATATTGGGAAAGAACTGTGCGTGCTGCTGATTTAACGAGACCAGAGACACGTTACAACCATGACGGTCCTAATAAAATGAACATCTTTCAGAGGAAATTAGAGGCACCCCCCCTGCAAGTTGTCTCCTCCCAGCTCTGCCTCCTAAGCAACTGGAGGTTCAAATTCTCTGTCACTCCCACACTAAGCAAACCGCTCCCGTGGACAAGCTATCAGATCCAGAGCCACTGAAGACCCGTATTCTACATCTACACAGTGGCGACAGCACCACGGCCACACGGGAAGCGGTCTTTCAGAAATTCAGTGTGAATGAGTCTCTACAGTTTTGTCCGGATCAAATGGGGACTTATGAGTTGGCACAATGTTTTGTTTTGTTTTGTTTTTAAAGTGCAACACGGTTTGACAATCCTTGCTCTTATGTCAGAAAGATTTCCGTTTTCGGATGGTGTCAGGATACCTCTGTGGATTCTCTTGTTTGGCAGGAAGCCAGGTGTTTCATACTGCATCAGCGATCCCAAACGATCAGCTACACAGATCAGCTCTTGTACCTCGGGCTTATAACTCTCAAAATTCTGATGTAACACGTCTCTGGAAGAAACACGGCATCTGCAGTTAGGGACTTTACAACAATTTACAATCCAATTTCCCCTGAAGAGCAGTCTCTTCCTCCACTGCAAAACCGATCGAGAACCCTAGGACCACAGAATCTTTAGCTCAGTGCTTGGCACTCAGCCATACACAAATGAGAAGAATCTTTACGAGTGTGTGCGCACAATTACCATCACATGCTTGTGAGCAACACTGATAACTAGAGTGCAATTTAGAAGGCACCTGTGACCCATTATTTGCCTTATATACACTTCCCCAGGATACATAACCTGCATGGCCTGCCTTTATCAATAAGCAACCAAATCTCTGCCCCCATCCCTGCCCCAGGTTGTATTAGACCAAGGATACTCGCAATGGCCTGGGTGACTATTAATTGTTTGGCTGCTAACCTGCCTGAAGTCTGCGTAACAGAGTTTGTAATCTTAGGTTACAGGTTATGTAGAGGAAGCCAGGACCACCCTTAGGTTCCATAATTCACGGGGAGGGCTCACAGGACTCTACAGTTGTACTCATTGCTGTGATTTATCACAGCAGAAGGACACAGGCACAATCCTCAAAGGGGAAAAGCTCATGGGGCGAAGTCTAGAGGAAACCAGGTGCAAGCTTCCAAGGGTCCTGTCCCAGGGGAGACACATGGGCTTAGACCCCCACCCCCCTGCTGTGTGAAATGCTAACCAGGAAGCTCATTAGACAGTCAGTGCCCAGAGTTTTTATCAGAAGCTGATCATGTAAGCAGCCTCTGCCTGGGAATTACTCAAATTCCAAATACCCAGAGGCAAGGCAAGTGTTTACCATAAGTCATATTGTTTGTACAAGCAGCTGTGGTGCATAGTGAGCCTCTCTTATCAATTCTGGGCGTGATGGGAACCCTCCTGAAATCCAAGTTCCCACACGCCACCCCGGGGCAGCCTTGCAAGCAGACTTCTCCAGGGACAGCAGTGCAGGCCTGCTACGGTCGTGCTTCTCTGCACGTAGATATTTCTCTGAAATGGGGTGGTAGAGAATATATATACCCTCTTCAAGCAATCTCTTCTTTCTATTACTTTTGATTATATGATAATTGATATATACAAAAGCATACAACCTCATCACCGAATTTAAGAACTAGAGCAAGGGCGCTTGGGTGGCTCAGTCAGTTAAGTGTCCGACTTCGGCTCAGGTCATGATCTCACGGTTCCTGGGCTCAAGCCCCGCGTCAGGCCCTGTGCTGACAGCTAGCTCAGAGCCTGGAGCCTGCTTCAGATTCTGTATCTCTCTCTCTGCCCCTCCCCTGATCTCTCTCAGAAATAAATAACACATTAAAAAAAAAAAAAAAGAACTAGAGCAATTAGGGGCGCCTAGGTGGCTCACTCAGGGAAGCGTCTGGTTTCATCTCAGGTCATGATCTCATGGTTCGTGAGTTCAAGCCCTGCATTGAGCTCTGTGCCATCAGCATAGAGCTTGGAGCCTGCTTCAGATTCTGTGTCTCCCTCTTTCTCTCCCCCTCCCCCGCTCATGCTCTGTCTCTGTCTCTCTCAAAAATAAACTTAAAAAAGCCAATTAGAACAATTATGTCATTTTATTTGTATGCTACTTTTTCAAATATTTGTTTTTACATTTGCTTATTTTTATTTTGAGAGGGAGAGTGTAAGTGCATGCATGTGAGCAGGGGAGAGGCAGAGAGAGGAGAAAAAGAATCTTGAGCAGGCTCCCTGCTGTCAGTGCAGAAGCTGACTCAGGGCTCCATCTCCTAAACCCTGAGATCATGGCCTGAGCTGAAATCAAGAGTCAGATGTTCAACTGACTGAGTCACCCAGGTGCCCCGTAGGCTACTTTCCCCTCCCATCCTCCTGGCTCCCAGCAACAGAGAACTTATCTTGAAATCTAGGTTCACGATCCCCTTACCTTTTTCTTTTTAAAAAACAGGTTACAGGGATGCCTGAGAGGCTCTGGTTAACTGTCCAACTTATGATTTTAGCTCAGGTCATGATCTCACAGCTGTGAGTTCAAGCCCCACGTCAGGCTTTATGCTGACAGTGCGGAGCCTGCTTGAGATTCTCACTCTCCCTTACCGCCCCTCCCTACGCATGCTCTTTCTCTTCCTCTCAAAATAAATAAACTTAAAAAAAAAATAGGTTACAAACATATGTCTCTAAACAATATATTCTATAGTTTTGCTTTTGAACTTTACGGGAAAAATGATACAACATTGTAGTTTACTGACTTGCTGTTTTTACTCAACACTATACTTTTAAGATTAATCTACACTGTCATACAGGCTACCTGTTTATAAAGTCCTATAATATCCCATTGCATGGCAGTATTGCTTTCATCCATTGTTCTGCTTATGGACATTTAGGCTGATTTCACTCAACAGACACTACTATTGACAGTCTGGTTCAGATCTCCTGTTGGATATGTTCACAACTGAACACACATGGTGGAAGAATTATAAGACTATAGGATATACAAAGTTCAGTTTTATAAGATAATGACAAACTGCTGGCCAAAGTGGTTACAGCAATTTAAACTCTCACCAGGCATATATAAAAATTCTCCTTGACCCCCTATGGGTCAATATTACTACTATCAGACTTCCTGATATTTGTTCACTTAGTGGGTGAGGAATGCAATCTTATGTATTGAGGAACCAAAGCACCTTTTCATATATTCATTTGCCATCCATGCTTCCCCCTTGTTCATGTCTTTTGCACAATTTTTTACTGAGTGTTTGACTTTGACTTTTTAATTTGTAGAAATTTTTCATAAATTCTGCATACTGATTTTGGATAGTCAGTTTACAGGCTGCAAGTGCTTTTTCACAGTTTGAACTTATCTTCTCACTGTTTACGGTATCTTTTGTTGAAGAACATTCCTTAGGTTAGACATAGTCTAATTTATTTATTATTCCTTAGGTTCAACATAGACCAAATTTTCTAACGTCTATGCTTTGTGAGCGTGAAGAAATCCTTTTCTACCTTAAAATCATGAAACTATTCACTTCTATTTTCACTTAAAATTTTAAAAAAATTTACCATTCATATTTAAGACTTTCATCTGTCCAGAACTGGATCATATCTACACCATCATAAAAATCCATTTTATTTTTATCCATATGACAAAACTGACTGTTGCACTCCCACGTGTAGATGAGTTCCTCTCTGATCTGTGGTCTACCTTTGCCATTTATCTAGGCTCTCTAGGGGTGCTTGGGTGGCTCAGCTGGTTGAGTGTCCAACTCTTGATGTTGGCTCAGGTCATGATAGTAGGGCCACGGGACCGAACTCATGTCAGGCTCCATGCTGTGGGTGGAGCCAGCTTAAGATTCTCTCTCTACCCCTCTCCCCTACTTGTGCTTCAAAATTAAAAAAAAAAAAAAAAATCTAGGCTCTCTAGATAAATGCTTCTAAGCTCTCTATTGTACTCCTTTGGTCTACCTGGCCATGCTTGCTCCAATATCACTCTATCTTCATTACTATGTTAAGCCTCGCTGTCTGGTAGAAAGAATCCTCCCCTGAAAGCCTGGGGGCTACCTTCTTCAGGAGTATCCTGAGTACTCTTGGTCCTTTGTTCTCCCATACAATTTATAGAATTAGTTTATCAAGTTCCTCAAAAAACTGTTGGGATTTGGAATGGCATTTTATTGACTCTAAAATTAATTTGTAGAGAACTGACCCATTGGTATTATTGAATATCTTATTCTTGAACCTAGTATTTTTCTTTGTTTTCTCTCCTGTGTTTTGATAATAAACTGAGCTAAAGAAAACATTATTAAGAAAATCATAGAAAGAGAAAATACATTTACAGTACTGTACCAGCATTTATCCCAAAAAATGCACATAAAAGTGGATCTGTGTGGTTCAAACCCATATTGTTCAAGAGTCAACTGTATACATAGGGTTCAGTTCTAGCCACAGTTTCGGGCATCCACTGGGGGTCCTGGGACACATCCCCCCACCTAAGGGGGGAGGACTATTGTCTTTTCGTTTTCCAGGTAAGAGTTTTTATCTTTTTAATAAGTATAGATGGTTATTTTTTCTTCTACTTGTTTTTCTGTATCTGTTGGCATAATTAATGTGGTTTTTCTCCTTTAATCTATTAACTGGAAATTAGTATACATTTTCTGAATTAGATCACCTTTGTACTCCTAGGAAAAACCTAGTTTGGTATGATATTATCTTTCCTATACACAGGTGAGTTTGGTTTACCAATATATTGCGTAGGATTCTTACATCCACACTGAAGAGTAAGAATGGCCCCTAATTTTCCTTTTGTGTACAATCCTTGTCAGGTTTGCTATCATTGTTCTATTAGGCTCACAAAATGATTTGGGCGTATTAACCTTCTATTCTCCTAAAAGTCTGATAGAACACTTTTGTGATATCATTCGGGCTTGGTGATTTTGGTGTTAAGTGGGGATACTTTTTTTTTTTTTAATATTTTTTATTTATTTCTAGGAGAGAGAGAGAGACAGCGTGAGCAGGGGAGGGTCAGAGAGAGAGGGAGATACAGAATCTGAAGCAGGCTCCAGGCTCTGAGCTGGCAGTCAGCACAGAGCCTGACGCGGGGCTCGAACCCACGAACTGCAAGATCATGACCTAAGCAGAAGTCGGACGCTTAACTGACTAAGCCACCCAGGCGCCCCTAGTGGGGATACTTTTAAATACCAATTCAAGGGGCAACTGGGCGGTTCAGTCAGTTAAGCATTTGACTTTGGCTCAGTTCGTGATCTCAGGGTTTATGAGTTTGAGCCCCACATGGGGCAGGCTCTCTGCTGTCAGCTTAGAGCCCGCTTTGGATCCTCTGTCTCCCTCTCTCTCTGCCCCTCCCCAACTTGCAAGTGCACATGCTTCCTCTCTCTCAAAAACAAACATTAAAAAATTTTTAAAAATAAATACCAGTTCAATATCTTTACTAATTATAGAACTCTTCAGGCTTTTTATTTCTCCTCAAGTTAGTTTGATAAATTGTGACTTACTAGGAATCAGTCCATTTATTTTTGGGGTGTTTAAATTTAATTGCATGTAAATTTCCATGGCATCCTTGGCATTTTAATATTGGCACATCTGTGGTTATTTTTCTTTTTATAATTTCTAACAGTTTGAGTTTTTAGTTATTTTCATTAAAGAAATCAATCTCCCCAGAAATTCCTATTAGTAAACAAAGACAAAATTTTAACTTTGACAAAAGTTTATTTTACATTTAGTTTGCACTAATTTCTCTCTTCAGCTTTATATTTCCTTCTTTCTGTTTTCTTTGTTTTTTTTCCTACTCCTTAATTTTTATACTTATCTATTAACTTGCTTTTTCTAGTATGTAATTCTATTCTATTCTGTTTTAGACACTGCGAGAACAGGGGAGGAGCAGAGGGAAAGACAGACAGAGAGAGAATCTGAAGCAGGCTCCACGCTTAGCACGAAGCCCAACATGGGGTTCAATCCCACAACCCTGGGATCAAGACCTGAGCTAAAATCAAGAGTCAGACACTGAACTACTGAGCCACCTAGGCTCCCCTCTACTATAACATCTAAAGATACTGTTTTTTACAAAAACGGTTTCACTGCTTCCACAAGTATTGGTATGTGGAGTTTTCATCTTTTTTTTTTTTAAAGTATATTCAAATCTTCAGTGTGGATTTTATCTTTAAACTGTATTTCAATATGTGTGCTTTTAAACTTCCAAATAATGAGAATTTTTTTCTTTATGTTTAATCATATTGCAGTCAACTATAACACCAATTATCTGAAATGTATTTAAATATGCATAATAAGCAACTGAGGTGTACTTGAAAAGACTATGTATTCTTTGATTATTGGGTACACAGTTTTATAGCAGACGAATAAGTCAAGTCCATTAATCATGATTTTCAGAAAGTCTCAATCTTTACCAGTTTGTGTGTGTGTTTCACTTATCAAAAATTAGAATCTCTCATTAGGATACTAAGTTTGTTGATTTCTCTGTGTATATCTATCAATTTTTAAAGTTCTTGTGTTAGGTGCATATAAGTTTAAATTATTATCTTTCCTGGAGATTTGAACCTCTGTCCTTATGTAATAATAATCTTTGTTCTCAGTAATTAAAAAAAAATTCAAATCCATTAATATAAACATACCTACATCAGGAATCTTTTAGTGTTTCCCATGCAGAATTTTTTCCATTCCTTTATTTTCAATCTTTCTGTGTCCTTATGCATTACACATCTCTTGTAAAAAGCATTTAACTGGATTTTTAAAACATTCAAAGGCACCTGGGTGGCTCAGAGGTTAAGTGTCCGACTTCGGCTCAGGTCATAATCTCGCAGTTTGTGGGTTTGAGCTCCTCATCTGGCTCTGTGCTGACAGCTCAGAGCCCACGGCCTGCTTCAGATTCTGTGTCTTCCTCTCTCTCTCTCTGCCCCTTCCTGACTCAAACTCTGTCTCTCTCTCTCTCTCTCAAAAATAAAAGAAAAAAAAAATTCAAATCCTACTATGTCTATCTTTTGACATTTAAAAATTCATTTATATTTACTGTCATTATTAACATATCTGGATTATGTCAACCTACTCTTACTGTTTTCTTTTTATTTGCCCCACTTTTTTATGCCTCCCTCTCCTTCCCCCCTTTTCTGGTTGATTTTAGATCTTATTCTTCTTTTACTTTTCTACTAATATAGAAGCTATACGCTTTGTTTCTAACTTTTAGTACTTACTCTAGATATTTTAAATATTTATGTATAACTTAAAGCTTCAACATAATATTTAACCCATATTCCCTTAGAATACTTTAATTCTGACTATCTCTCAACTTACTTGCTATTCTGCCCAGTATTTTATTTCTATCCATTTTATAAAGCCCCCAAACCAGATATTATTTTATATAGACAATACTTATTTAGATTTACCAATTTATCATGCTTATCATTTTTTTCTCATTATTCCTTCTTGTATCTCAAATCCTGCCTGACCTCAACTACTTTTCTCTTTGATTACATGCCTGAGAAGATTTTTAGTGAATGGCAGTTGATGGTTAATTCAATTTTTGATTATCCAAGTATATATTTATTTGGTCTTTATTCATAAAAGATAGTTTTGCTGGGTACAGAATTAGGTTGAAAGTTATTTTTTTTCTTGCAGCACTTTGAGGACAGTCTATTATATTCTAGCTGCCATTCTGATGTTAAAAGGTTTATAGTCAGTCCAATTATTGACCGTAAGTAGGTGATAGGATTTTTCTGTTTAAAAATTTTTCTTCTTATGTGTCTGGATATGGATTTGTTTGTCATTTATCCAGCTTTTTAAAATATCTATGGATTTATAGTTCCTTAGTTCTGGGAAATTATTAGCCATTATTTCTTCAAAAACTCTCTCTCCTCCATTCTCTTCTCATAAGATTTCAATTAGACATTCTTACATCTTCCACATCTTCTATCTCTCATGCTTTCTAACACCTGGACTCTCTGTGCCACGGTCTAGATAATTCCTACTGCTCTACCTTCCAATGAAGCAAGTTTCTCTTGACTACGTCGAATTTGCTATTTAGCTTACATACTGAATTCTTCATTTCAGTATTTTCCATTCTTAAAGCTTTCAATTTATTTTTACTCTCCCTGGTCATTTTTGATAGTCTCTTATTTATTGCTCATGTTTCTTATTTCTTCATAATTTTTTTAAATAGTTCATTTGGTATTCAACAATTCCAATACTTGAATTCATTGAGAGGCTAAGTCCGTTATTTGTTATTCCTGTTGATTTTGACATATGGTTTTGGTGATCTTGGTTTTTGACTCTCATTCTAATGATCTTAATCTGTGGGAATACTTGGTCCCCAAGTTGGCACTACTTTCTTTCCATGCAGGATTTGCACTTGCTTTTGTTGAGATCCTGTGAATATGGTGCCCCGATATGGGACCACTTTAGCTCCTTAAAAAAGTTTAGCAAGCCCATCTTGCCTAGACCTCAAGGAATTCTATTGCAGTGGCTGTTAGATGCCTGTACCTCCAGGACACTTTTTGCCTTTCAAATGTGCTTATCATTCACCACTCTAGTCTGAATCTTCCCCCCCCACCCACCCCCTGCTTTTCCTTCTTTTTAGAGTGGGAGGGTATTGATCTTTGCAGATTTTTCTTAATTCTTAAGACATTGCTAGACTTCTAGAAATTAATTTCTATTCTATTTGTTTTTGTAATGAGATACTCCTTTAGCATATATGTTTCACCATAATGCATCAGTAGTTGACCAACAGTGTAATTTCAAACTTTTGGCTTTAAGTAATTTGTTTTAAAAGTAACATGGTGGGGGCGCCTGGTTGGCTCAGTCGATTAAGCATCTGACTTCAGCTCAGGTCATGATCTCACAGCTTGAGGGTTCAAGCCCTGCGTCAGGCTCTGTGCTGACAGCTCAGAGCCTGGAGCCTCCTTCCAATTCTGTGTCTCCCTCTCTCTCTCTCTCTCTCTGGCCTTCTCCCACTCATGATCTCGCTCTCTCGAAAATAAATACAACATAAAAAAAATTTTTTTAAGTAACGTGGTAATAATAATGCATATCAACAACTGCAAGTGCATTTGAAGTTTGAAGGCTGCATACAATTAGCAGGGAAGGTCAGGCTAGCAGCAGAGGTGATGTCCAAAGGTAAGTTTCAAGGTGCCGTATAAACTAAAAGAAATATTTGCAGACACATCAAATACAAAATAAGTACCTGAGAGACATGACTAGAAAGCCATTTACTGAGCATGAGATATCATGATAAGCTCATAGTTCAGTCGTGAGGAAGCAAAAAACAAAAAGTCATTTTTACTGAAAGCACTTACTTTATGTGGGGCTGTAACCCTGGCTGCTCTTCATAGTCTTCTATGAGAAAGGGCAGATTTTTAGCCCAGTGGTCTTTAAAGCTTCCAGGCAGATCCACATCAATGTTATATTCCGTAAGGGGAGTATCAAGGTGTGCGTGAAGATACCGAGAATACTCTGCAGATAGGAGATGAAATTTGACAGATACTGAGAATACTCTGCAGATAGGAGATGAAATCTGACACATCCAAATATTGCTCAGGAAGTATTTTTTATTGCTGGCTATCAGCCCAAATGCTCTGTAACAAACTGTTAATCCCGAGATTTCTAAATGAAGAGTCCAAATTTTAGTAAGTCGCTATTATTACATGATACAGGGTAACTCAGGTTACCAGGGTCAAATAGAGGCCAGCCAAGCAGGGTCCACTTTGGCTACATTTTAATCATCTTTCCATGAACACCACCAAAGGTATCACTTGTTAGCTGCAGAGTCTGAGAATTCAAGTTCAGTGTCAGAGCCTGGTTCCCTGTCAACTGATATGAATCAACTGACTGTGTATATGATTTTACCAACTGACTGCTGCTTATCTCTACAGAAGCAGTGTGGAAAAAGACCAGGATGTGGAGTGGCCCTCCTTTGGTCTACAGCTCCCATGTTCTATTAACCCAGGAAACAAGAGGAAATCATAGAGAGTGAGCAGCTACGCCGTCCAGTAGGTAGCCCCTAGCCACCTAGCTAGTGAACACTTAAAATGTGGCCACTGTAGCCGAGGAACTGCATTTTAAATGTTAATTTAACTCATCTAAACTTAAAAACTGATATGTGATTCAATTATTAGAAAACTTCAGGATATTTGGGACAACACACATGTATGAATCTACTTTTTCAACTTTAAATTCTACAAAGCAGGATTTCAAATTAAGAATTTCCAGCAAAAAATCAGGGTCCCTGGGTGGCTCAATCAGTTAAGCATGACTCTTGATTTTGGCTCAGGTCATGATCTCACAGTTTTCTTGAGTTCTAGCCCCATGTTGAGCTCCATGCTGGTATCATGGAGCCTGCTTGGGATTCTGTCCCTCCCTCCTCCCTTCCCCCTTCCTCTCTAAAAAACTAAAAAGAAGTAAAAAAAAAAAAAAAAAAGAAAGAAAAGAACTTCCAATAAAAATTTTACATCCAATGTAAGTATAAAAAGTTGTACTCTAAGTATAAAATATACACATTTTACAAACTTAGTAAAAAAAATGTAAAATATCTAAGTCTAAGGATTTAGATATTTTAATTAATAATTAATAAATCCTTAGATTTATTAATGAATAGTGTTTTCATAGTAATTATAGGTTGAACTGATATTATGCATGCACTGAATCAAATAAAATGTATTATTAAAATTAATTCCACCTGTTCATTTTTACTTTTTTAATGTGACTACTAAAAACTTAAAACTGTAGGGCTCCTAATTATTTACAGTTGGGTAGCAGTGGTATGAGAGGCTGCATGATGACAAAGGAAAGAGGAAAAAGGGGAGTGAAGATCTGAGCTCTGCATGAACAACAAAAATGTTATTGTGACGAGCACTGACAGTGCAGAGAATTGTCGAATCATTGCACTGTGTGTCTGAAACAAATCTAATGTATGTTAAGCATGCTTCAATTAAAAAAAATCCACTTTAAAATAAAACGAGAGGGGCGCCTGGGTGGCTCAGTCGGTTAAGCATCCGACTTCAGCTCAGGTCATGATCTCACGGTTCGTGGGTTCAAGCCCTGCGTCGGGCTCTGTGCTGACAGCTCAGAGCCTGGAGCCTGTTTCAGATTCTGTATCTCCCTCTCTCTCTGATCTTCCCCCGTTCGCGCTGTCTTTCTCTCAGAAATAAATAAAACATTAAAATTTTTTTAAAAAGCATAAAACAAAACGAGAAAAACAACAAAAGCAAAAATACTGTTGTGTCTAGCAGAAAAACGGTGAGGTTCTGACTAAGCAAAAGATGACATAAAGCTCTGCTTTCTTCCTCACCCCAAATGAATGTCTCCGAAGTAGATGAGAATTCTGACATGAACGAGATACATCAAAGCTACCGAGTTTACACTTCACAGCAAAACCCTCAGAAAACGTTACTTTCCTATTACTCCTGGGTCTCTCAACCAGATGTGATGCGACCCATCAATGCCCAGACGACTGGCACATTTAGCTCCAAACATAGGTTTTTTTTGACTGCAGTAAAAAAAATTTTTTTAACTTTAGAGAGAAAAGAATCCATGGGAAGTGGGGCTGGTCTTTAGAAGACAGGGGCCTTATCCAGTCCACCAAGGGGTGGCTGTGTTCGCGTCACCTAGTGCCTCTGAGACTCAGCCATCTCGTACGAAATAAGAGACACCAGCAATATGATGTACGCAGCTCTGGGCATCAAAAGTCAACGTTTCAGCAACTCTGTGACTTACCTCGGAGATATTTCACTTTCAGATACTCTGGGCTAGCCTTCTGGCCTGGAAGAGGGTCGTTTAGCATAACTTTGGTCTGCGCTTTTATTCCTTCATAAAACTGTCCCATGGCAACATGGCTGAGTCCTTTCATATACTGGCACACCTCGTTATAGGGTTCTAGCTGCAGACACCGCTAAGGCACGGAGGGAGAAAATACCCTGTTAGCATCAATACAGTTGCAGGGAACTCTTACGGGCTTTATTCTTCAATCTGGGGGTAGAAGAGCTTTCCCTCCAGGCTAAATCAGACCAAGTACACTCTCTGTAAATCAGACTATAAGACACAGCAGTGGGTTTTTTTTTCTTTCTTTTTGTTGAGATACAAACATTATTCTTGGCTCTCCTCTCTAGTCATTTCACTACATTTTGTTGAATGATCCCAGGGTACCTGGGTGCCTCAGCCCGTCCAGTATCTGACTCGATTTGAGCACAGATCATGATGTATGCAGATCATGGGATCAAGCTCTCCATCAGCCTCTGCACAGACAGTGTGGAGCCTGCTTGGGATTCCCTCTCTCCCTCTCAAAGTAAATAAACAGTTAAAAAAAAGGGGGCCGGGGGAGACCATTCCAAGAACTGTTTACAGTGCCTCTCACGTATGGCTGCTCACCTTGAAGTTCTTAAGGGCCTCCTGCAGGCTGCCGTGGTGATAGAGCATCATTCCCCGCAGCTGCAGGGTCTGGACGTGATTTTGGTTGAGCAACAGCGCCTTCTGAAAGCTCTCGGTGGCTGCTTCAAAATTGCCCAGTTCTCTAGGTATTTGACAGTAGTTATGAGCACAATGCAGAACGTTTCAGTGAACACACAAAATACATTAGCCTAGAATTACGGTCCCAGATGAGCATCAGATACCTTGATATGGATTCCCTTTTCTGTTTCACCACTTTACACTTTGACACATCCCATCCTACTTACTTTTCCCAACTCTTACTAGACTACAGGATAACCACAAAGCCCTTAATATTCTCTGGGGAAAATGAGTGTATTGATTTCCAAAGGCAAGCGCTTATTCAAATCCTTTTCCCCACTTCATGATGAGCTTCAATCCTTAAAAAACTATGTGTAAATTTTAGGGGTGCCCAGGTGGCTCAGTCAGTTAAGCGTCCAACTTCAGCTCAGGTCATGATCTCGCAGTTCGTGGGTTCGAGTCCCGCATAGGGTTCTGCTCTGGCAGCTCAGAGCCTGGAGCCTGTTTCAGATTCTGTGTCTCCCTCTCTCTCTGCACCTTTCCCCACTCGTGTTCTGTGTCTCTTTGTCTCAAAAATAAATGAACTATAAAAAATTTTTTTTAAAAAACTATGTGTAAATTTTAGTTTTTAGATAAGATCATGTTTCTCAATATGTAGGTTACAATCATATATGGATGTATCATTCTGAAGCAAATTCATAGGCTGAAAATTGTATTTTTCTGTCACAGAAGTTACTTTACTTAAAATCCAGTAAATCATTCTGTAATTTAAAACGTCAGAAAGAAACTGTATTTTAGGATGGTAATCATTTCAGAGTAGAAGTGATTATTTCCAGCCTTCTTTTACCTATTAAATTTTTACAAATAACAAAACCACCTTTAAAACATCCCATGGGTCTATTTTCTGTAAATAATATTTTAAAAATATATAATACCCACTTACATTTATATATCACTTTACTAGCTATTCAAGGTGCTTTCAAATCTGTTTTCCAGGTATGTCCCCAACAATTTTGTGGGACAGCAAGGATAAGTATCATTTAAATCGAAAATGAACACAAAGACACTTTCTTCAAGTCAGCGTTAAGAGAGCTTCTCCGGTGGCCGCATCAGATAAATAAGCTCTTGAATTCAATCCTTCCCGAGTGAGGTGCCTAACAGAGCTCTGAAGGAGATCTCTGTTACTGTCTCTTTCCTGACTTTCACAGAACCTCATAAGGGAGAACCCTGAAGCTCAGGGAAGTGGCGGAGACACAAGTGCAGAATGGGCAATCTGGAACCCATTCTGGATTCCCAAATCCCTTGACCCTGAATCCCGAGGCCTTCTGTCACGCCATGCAATCTCCTTTTCAGGTCAGACTGTAAAACTTTTTGAAAGCCAGAAGTCAAAGTAGCTCTTCTGGTCAGGGTAACACCGGGAGTCAGGACGCCAGGGTCAAAGCACAACCCCTCCCTCCTGATAGAGGGGCACTGTAGCTGTGCCATAATTGATCATCTTGATGATCATCAGTATCACCCTATGGAACATAATTTTCTAGCCTTTTAATCAAGGAGTCTTCACAGTCATGTGGGAATTAATCTTATTTATTGCCTAGAAAAGCAGCAGTATCTATGACCCAACCAGCATCTAATGCCACTTTTCAAAACAATAAACCTTGAAGGACTAACATTTTCTGGACCAACATATACAAAGCAAAGCCGTTTTAAAAGATGGTATATACGTCATATCCTCTGACCCATGGTTCTTTTTATATTCCAGAGAGGCTCTCAGCAAGCACATAAATGCCTATGTGATTTAGAAGGGCAATTTCTTTTGGTGAGGAAATGGAATTTCTTTTAAAATATCACTATTAGGTGAGGCACTCTCATCTCCTCAGTCTACACTCTCCCTCCTACCTTATTACTTTTCTTACCTGTAGGCCTGTCCCAGACTTTTATACGCATCAATAAAATCTACTTTCTGCTTCAAGGCTTCTTTGAAGGACTCAATAGCTTCCTGAAAAAAGTATATAGAAAATTATGTCACTTGCCTAACTAGTAAAATTGAGTTTCACTTAACATCACTAAATATATAATATACATGGTCTTGGAGTGATTTTCTTTTTTTAATATGAGGACTTCAAAGAAAGAACTAGAGAGTCTGACAAACTGAGTCAGGAAGGTTTGATCTCAACAGTAAACAAAGGCTCTGCTGTGGGCAATAACACAGACTGCCAGGTTTCAGAACGGGAAAACGGCTTCCCTCCCCCTATTTCATTAGGTAAGGATAACACCTTCATGACAATATCATTTCTTTGTTAATAAAGGCCTTGCAGAATAAAAATAAGCCTACTAGCTGTATAACATAACTTTAAGTGGTCATAACCAGCAGCATTTAAACAGAACCAGCAAAAGAGACAAAAAAGCAAGCCCAAGGTGAAATTATTCATTAAAAAAAAAAAAAAAAAGGCACCCAGGCTCCTAGATTGACTATGTGAATGACTCCCATGATCTACAGGAAAAAGAAACAGTAAAACAAAACGGAGAACTTGAGGTTGGGGCACCGGGGGCCTAGCTGTGGGCCCCCACAACTCCGGGTCTGGGGCTGAGGGAGTGAGAAGGTGGTAGAGGTGTTGGGCTCTAGGGAGGAGCCTGCCGGGAACGCACAGTGCGCCTGGCCACTGTGGAATCCTCTGGAAACGGTTACTACAACGTACCGGTCTGTTTCCCAATAAACATCCTGGACTTAAACTACTCAATGTGCTTCCCATTGTGACTTGATTATTTACTGTGATAAAAAATGAAGACATTTCACACATTTCCCAAAGAAAAGACGTGTTTACTTAAGTTAATGGCTACAAAGTATCTCTAGAGGCTTTCGTGAGAAAGACTTTAAAACTTCTGTGTATTTCACACCTGATTAGATAATTCATAGCAAAAAAACTACTAACATGTCAAATGCCTTGCACATGGTAGGCACTCAATAAATATTTAGTGATTTGGTAGGCATACAATCCTAATTCTTTTCTTAAAAAAAAAATCATTCATTCCCTGCTTTTTGATTTTCTCTGTAGGAGGCAGCAGGGTGGGAGGGCTGGCTTTCAAACCCTTCTAAGGCGACAATGGGGACAACCTTCTCATTTGGGAGTCCCGCTGACTGCGTACTGTTCAGCGGAAGGATGAGAACAGATCCGTGTTAGCACTTGAATGTTAAAGACTACTCTCCGTTAGGCTTCTGGCCCTAGCACAGCCTAGGTCTTCTGGGATTTTTACAAGGACATTTTCAATTCAACAAACATGTATTGAGCGCCTACTATGTGCCGGGGAGGGGGGGGGGGCGGGCAGGGTGAGGTAGGGTGGACACAAAGCCGAGCAAGTCATTCTCTCTGTCCTTGAAGAACTCAGTCTAGTTAGAAAGTCAATGACTGAACCAGGTTATTAGGATATGAACTAAGAGCTACGAAAGAGATACAAGGAAGAGTCTCTGGGGATAAAGAGGGAGGAACACCTAACTGAGCCTGGGACACCAGGAGGGTGACAACTGAGCTGGGTCTGGGAGAATGAGGAGGAGGGTGGCAGAGGAAGAGGGAATCTTGGGCAGGGGGGCGGTGGTGCGCAGGGGGAGAGGCAAGAGTGCGGGTGCAGAGGGGGGACCCGGGGAAGGGAAAGATGTGGGGGTCAAGCTGCTGTGGCGAGCGGAGTGGAGGAAGGGCCCCCACCATGCTCTGCAGTGGGGGTGTCACCCTGGCAGCAGTGAGGACTGGGGGCTGTGAGTAGGTGAGGGACCTCACAAAACTGACCCTAGAGATGACTGCCACCAGCCACAACAGAGCAGGCGGGCTGGACAGGGGAGGGGACAGAGCCCAGTGATGAGGTGGCTGCAGGAGCCCAGGCAAGAGATAACGAAAGCTCAAACTGAGACGGTGTCTCTGAGGACAGAAAAAAAGGGACAAACTCAGGAGATATTCTGAAAGGCAAACTATGAATCTGGTGGCCATGGGGGGTGAGGGAGAAGGGAGGGTAGGAAGCTTAGGAGCTGAAGAGCCCGGGTGAAAGGTGAGAGCGTTAGCCAATGTGAGGAAGTAGGGGGGCTGGCTGCGGGGTGGAGGTGGAAGGAGGTGATGAGTCCAGCTGGGGCGTGGGAAGTCTGGGGTGTTTGTGGACGTCTGGGGGAGATGCCCGGGCGACATCTGCTGCCCACTGCACTTACAGCACGCTGGGACGCCACAGTTCTTCAAAGTCTGATTTCTCTTCAGCTTTTAAGAGTCTTTGGTTTCGGGGTTCCTGTCTAATCACTGCACAGCTCTCTACCTCATTCTGCCAAAGAGGGGACATAGCAGAATCAAGATTTGAAGCCACTCGGAACAAAGATACTACGTTCGAATGAATCAGTCTCTAAGCACGCGAACTGGCTCGGCGTTTGTTTGCACAGTGAGGGCGGGCAATACCCCATCAAGGCCGCCATCTTCCTCCCTCACCATTGGTGGGTGGCCATCACTCTGGCTTCCCTGCTTCGTTAAAACGAAGAGAACAGTTGCAGGGGCCTCTCAAAGTGAAGGCTGACAAGAAAACAGGTGCTCGGAATATACCACTTTTGAAACGTCCTTACAACACAGATGCGAGGAGAGTTTTTGCTGTTGTTTTCCCCAGGGAAATCCAAAATGCCTGATCCATCCACCAAGCTGGATGGCTACAAAATCTGTCGGGTCACATTGCCTGCATAATTTCTAACATACGACCTCATTAAGGAAATAAGCAACCCACCCACCTAATTAATTTCTAAATTGCCGCTGACCTGGGCTGACCAGCTTTAGGATATAAAGACATCTCTAATTCAGGGGTCCGTTGGATATGTCGCCTCTACGGTTAATAAGAGAAATAAAGAGATCTAGGCTAAGTTCATTAGTTTAAGGAAAGCATGTCACCACTGACCGAGTTTTCCAATCTGTGTAACTGGGACACCCTTTGCTCCTTCTATGCTTAGTGGGGGTGCCATTGGGATGGGTGAGACAATACGCAAACAGTCTGACCTCCTCGGAAGGCAGATCTATAAAAACGCAATTTCCCATCTATCACACACGCTGATGCTCTTTACAATCTCAGGGAAGAGAAGGCGCCACAGACTTTGGCTGGCAAGTCTGGTTCACTGAGGGGCTCATGGGATAGAAGCCCGGCTTCTGGGTTCTCCTCGCGTGGATTTGGAAGAAGCCAAACTGAGTTTTAGACCCTGTGCCGTGTGTAGTGTGTCTCTGTGCTCTTTTCTGACAAATTTTCATGTCCAAGTAGCACAGAGTCCTCCCTGACCACGTTCCTCCACTCGGCTTTCTGGTTCACCGTGAAACCCTCTGTCTGCATCTGTTTCCTTTAGAAAAATATCTTTTCACCTTTCAGTACTGACGGCTGGTGTTTTTTTGCATTTCAGATGTTTCTCTCCTCTGTGAGAGACTCAAGGGATAGCCTTTGCATACGGTATTGTGATGATGAGGTTTTTCTTAATTTAAGGTGACTGAGAGAAGGTAAGAGGAATAGGGACAGATAAAAAATAAAACTGGAAAAGCCCATCTGGCAGTTGCTCAAAGCGCATTTTAAATAACTGCTCTCGATGCCGGGGGCTGCCAGCCTGAGTTGGGGGGGCGGCAGAGGGGGTACGGGAAATCTGTGAGGACCACCCACCACACCCTTGCAGGAAGGACAGGAAGAAAATCTCAACAGTTCCCTCTGGTTTTTGTGGTTTGTGGATAGGAGTTATTTTTTTAAGGCCTCTGACACTTGGATTAAACTAAATGTTCACATGTAACATGATCTGTAATGACTAACACCTGATCGGTGTTCATAGCTCTGAAAGTACTTTTCACCCGTTATTTTACTGAGCCCCTTCAAGAGGCAAACGGGAGAATCATCTCTAGGAGGCAAAGAGGGGAGTGGCTGAAAAGGCGTAAGTAGCTTGTCCCGTGGGACAGTTCGCAGGATTCCGAGCGGAGCTCCGGCCAAGGCCTTCCAACTCCAAATCCAACGCTCTGTCCTTGAAATTCATTTAGTCCACTAGTACTTACTGAGCACCTTCTACGTGACAGGTGCTGCCTGTAACACTGTGGATTTACATGTGGCCTTTTGACAGGTCAACTGCGCCTACCCCCTAAGAGCATGTGCGTGATCCTCGGAACGACTTTCCGTAATAAAGCACATGTTCTTGCTGCCCAACGCACCCTTCCTGCCATGCACTCCTGAATTCTTCACAGCTGTCAAAGTCAAGGTAAAGAGCAACCTTCTCTTTGCTGACTCTCTTGACCTGTGAGTTAGCATGAAGTGTTTTTCACCTACACAGGAGGACTTAAGACAGAAGGCTTGGGCGGGTCCTACCCCAGAGCTCCAACACTGTGCTGGCCAGGGGAGCTGAGGGGGCCACTGTGAGAGATCGGGGCTCCGCTCCCGGCGCCCAGCCAGGTCCGTACCCCAAGATAAGGCCGGTACACCATAGGTCCTCAACACGCTCAGAGAGGGCTGGACCAAGGACAGGAGGCAGGGACAGGCCGGAGGTGACACTGCCTCTCCACACATCAGTTGGCTTGGATGACGCCTTTTCTATTTCCTTCAAGTCCTTCCTCCCCACCCCCAACAGCAATCTCCAGGCGGCAGCAGTGAGGTGCTCATTGTAGAAATGTCTCCAGACCGGCTCCTGGAGCCCCCAGGAGTCCGATCAGGTCTTCAGCTACCAGGGTCTCCCCGTGGTCCTCTGCCCGCAACCTCCCCAGCCACTGGCGTGTCAGAATCCACCCCCAAAATGGCAGATGTGGTCTCAATTACATCCCTTCCCCCAAATCTAGATTTTACAGCACTCTGGGCCCATAAATCAAAGTCAAGATGCTCAGCATAGCACTCTAGACATTTTGGCCACCTCCCCTCGGCCGACTTGCCAGCTCAACTCTCTTATGCTCAAACCTATTTGCTACGCTGCAAAATGGCCATACCTCCATGTTCTACACCAGCGCTCACACTTTCTCTCCACCTGAAGTAGCTGGCTGCCCCCAATCCACTCCTGCAACGCCCAGGACAAAGTCCACTTGCTCTCTGGAACCTTCTCTAACACCGCAGTTTAAGTGAATCCTTCTTCCTATCTCTGTTTCCAAAGCACTTTCCTTATATTAATGTTTTTAGTGTATTTGCCATATGATATATTATACGTGTGTGTGTGGGCGGGGGGGGGGGGGATTGGTGAATTGTATCCTTCCCAAGCATAAAGTGCAAAGAATTCTTTCTCCCTCTTTATCCTTGTCCCGTCTGCACCAGATAGTAGGAGCTCAATAAATACACCGACTCAAACCCCTTCCGAAAATAAACCACTTAGGTGGACACGTGAGATGTCATTTGCAAACAGGCTCAGTGGAATCCCATGAAAGTCTTCCCACCCTCCAGAGGAAACCAGGATCATTATACTGTACACATATTGCGTAATACTTTCACCTTCAAAAGTCCTCTGTGAAAGAAAGTTAGACCTTTGTATAGCATAGCTATAGGCTGGTTTTTGTTCAGTTCTAGGGACTGCTGAAAGTCTTCGTGGGCAGTCGCATAGTCCTACAGAAAGGAGAGCAAGGGAAAAAATATAGTAGGATACATTAGATATTCAGACATTTCCCACTTTTGACAGGTAGGGGGATAAAAACAATCCCATTTCATTCTGTGCCGTCTTTGGCTTTAAAGGGAACATTTCATGCCCATCAATATCAGCTGAATGCTTATCCTGTTTGTTGAAACAGCTGGTTTTCTTAGGAAATTGACAGGGGAAAATCCCGCAAAGGTTTAAATACGCAGTCTCAACTACAAAAAGATGATTTATAGTCTCTCTGCCCCTCCCCTGCTACGTGCTCTCTCTCAAAAATAAATACACATTTTTTAAAAACTATTCATAAAAACAGTATTAAAGTCATAATCTGTTAGAGAAACTTATTTTCTGGTACTAGCATCTTATTACACTGAATACTTTTTAAAAATTTTTTTTAGTGTTTATTAATTTTTGAGAGAGCACAAGCAGGAGAGGGGCAGAGAGAGAGGGAGTCACAGAATCCGAAGCAGGCTCCAGGCTCCGAGCTGTCAGCACAGAGCCCGATGTGGGGCTCGAACCCACGAACCACGAGATCATGACCTGAGCCGAAGTCAGAAGCTTAACCGACTGAACCACCCAGGAGCCCCTACACTGAATACTTCTAAAGGCGATAGGTCAACCTTAACGTGTGTTATGCTGAGACTTTTGTCATACCTATTTTCTTTGGCAATAGAAAATTGTTACTGAAGTTACATAAACCCTCACAAATAACGGTGGAGATCATAAATACCACTATGATGATAAAAGATAACCTTGCCAGATCTGGGTCACTGCCACCGAGAGGCTACAGTCTGAGACGCCATGTTGGTTCCAGTTGTGGCTCTCGCGCCCCAAGGAAGTCAAACTGTGCCTTTCCATTTCACAATCACACCAATAACACGCGCACCTGTTTCCCTGTTCTGACATGTGCAAAAAAGGCTGAAGTACAGTCAAGGAATCAAATCTCTTCATTTTCTCTTTCTTTCTTCCCCGAGTCTAGAATTAGTTACTGCTGACAGTTCAAGCAAGAAAATGTGCTCTCGGTACTTAACATTTCTCCACTGGGCTCAATTTCAGCTAAAGAAAGTGCTTTCCTAACCGTCTATATCACAGGCATATTATTATGCAGCCCCAAACCCAAATCTATCAGAGAGCAGCTTTCTGAAGTGAACAGAAAAGTGAAATCTCTATTATCACAAAAGAAACGTTTCAAGGCAAAAATAACTCACTTCTGATATGAAGTACAGGGTCCCCCGGTGTCTGTACAGCCGTGCTGAGGGCTGCAGCTGAATAGCCTTGGTGAGATCATTCACTGCTTCATTAATTCGTCCCAGAGGGGATAGAATCTATAAACCCAAACATGTAATTAGGGGAGAAATCTTCCAGGGATCAACCCCAAAACTGCCGATGTTTTCGACTTTTCAATGCCACCTCGCCACACTCCACTCACAAAGTTACTTTCCTGGCAGCAAGAATCCTTGACCCCACCTACTACACAGTGAAGTTCAAAGTCATCAGGCTGAGGGGCCCCTGCCTGGTCCTTGTACCGCAGAGGGGGAGGCTGATGAACTAGAACTACAGCAATTGCTCTGTCCTGGTTTCATATTCCGGGTTACAACAGGTGTCGCTCTTCTTGAAATGGGACCCTATTTTTTCCTCAACCTATCTTTATCTTTCAAAACAAAATTTAGCATTTCAAAGTTAATCTGAAGGATAACTTTGAACCATTACAAATAGAGACACTGATGGACACAGATTAGAGTCCTTCATGGTCTTTAGCTAGGTCTTCTGCGGTACGAAGGGCTGATTGACAATCTAATCTAAGATCCCAGGGGTTTGGGGGAGCCCCTTGGTGTTAACTCTTAGCTCATCGGTCAAGATCCGCAAGGCGGAAGAACAGAGGTCTGCAGGCTTGTTTGGGAAGCCCTGGTGATGCAGTGTCAGCTGTGTGCACAGGTGACGATGACAGCACAGAAAACAGCTGAGAATGCAAAAGTCCACCCAGAGGATGTAAGAAAATCCAAAATGGGGTATCAGGACTCATGCAATCAAGCGCAAGCATTTCACCCTGAACTCGGGTTAATTTTGTTCTCATAACATAGGTCATTTCCATCAGCTTCTACTATGGTTTCCTATGGCAGGAACTGAAAACCAGCAAAAGAGAGAGGATTTGGGCAGGCACATCGCCAGAGGCAAGAACAGCAGCTCAGAAGAAGGAAAGGAATAAATTATGGAATATATACCTGAGAATTCAAAAAGCATGGCAGTCTGGGATTGTATTTTGGAAGGAAGAACCATCCCTACCTAGTTTATTAACCCCTAGGTATGTAATTGAACCATCACACCTCAGCACAATAATCGACATTCGTAATAATGGCCGAACTGAAAAAGGTTAAATTATGTTCATGAAATATAGACTATTGTAGCAAGTATGAAAGAGAAAGATTTCTCATAAAATAATTTCAGATGTATGTAAACGGTAAGCTATAATCTAGCTGGAAAAATCACTTTGAAGTGATATTATTGCCTAGTGATGCCAGGAAAGTGGAATATCACTATATATATGTAAGATCATTGAAAATTACTTTTTGGATTACCAATGTCATTTGTGGGTACACGACTAGCTTTTGAGTGGAAATATGGAACTTCTACAGCTGCTGAATAAGTCTTCTTTCTATGTACACTTAATGAATTCATGCTTTATCATGACATTTTAACAAAACGTTGGAGTGATGGAGGGAAAAAGCATCAGCACCCCTCCCCAGAGCAGATATAACCAAATCTCACCCTAAATACCAACAAGGCTCTCGTGCAGTAAAGAACAAATTACAATCCCTTAACCCTTACGGTTACAATCCAAAACAGAGAAGAGGTTATGAATTATATCATTAACTGAGAAAGAATTATATTCAGAAACCCAAATTCCCAATAGGGCATAAAATTCACTGTATGAAACTGAACTGTAACTTTAGACACTGTAACTCTGAGAACAGAATCATCACAAATACAGTTGTTACATTACTAACACCTTTAGTGTTTTCTTTACTTCTAAGTTTTCTCCCCCACAAGAGGAAAGAGGTCATTTTTCCTTTAGTTCAACTATTAAATCCCATTATGTCAGATGATTAAAAGTTAAGTTTTATCCAGTTTGAATATGTTAACAAATTCTAAAGCCTTTGATATGGTTAAACGAATGGTAAAATGAAATCTGGGTAGTTTATGATTATATTATGAAATGGTAAGAGGAACATGTTTTGTGAAAAGGAATGCCTCACCACACACTCCTTTCTCTGACCTGAACACCCTTTCTCCACCTTGTCCCCCAAGCTGTGGGCTCTCTCGGCAGACACTCCTACACTGTGTCCCTGCCGACCTCCCCCATGCCCTGACAAACACGCCCTTCTGTTCCTAAAGAAGCACTTCCTCTTCATGTCTCCTATCACAAACACGACTTGGTATTTTCGCCACGTTACCTCTGTCTCCACTACAAGTCCTAAATTCCTTCAAGGTCTGGTTGTGGTCGCCCTTACCTGCTCTATGTCTCTATGTAGATAAGCACATGTCCCAGGAATTATACATTAGCGTGCACACACACACACACACACACGCCACACACACACACACACGCACATATGCACGTGTAACGGTTATAAATTTCATTCTGACCATATTGTCACACCGTTTTACTAAAGTATGTCATAGATAAACATGAACACTGGCAGTAGTAGTACCTGTTATAACCACATATTTTAATGCTAAATATTACTATTAAATGTTAAATCAGGAGTACTCTCAGTCAGTCCATAATTTTCTAGTAATTTCAACCACGTTTAAAGACATAAAGTACCTATGGAGGAAAATACAATAGAAAAGGGAGCTTTAAAATTTATGTGATAAAATAATAGGAAAAAAAAATCTGAGATTCAACTAATCCAATAATGACAGAGGAAAATAGAAAACCGCACTCACTTCTGCTCGCTGTTCAAATACCTCTGGACGATCTGGTTCCAAGGTAATTACTCGGCTCAGTTCGAACAGAGCAAGTTCAGCATTCTTAATGTCCTTGAAAAGGCATTAGCTTAGTATGAGATACACTGTTACTCAAAACCAGGTTGAATAGTTTTTCTGAAAAAACTAAAAATTTAGTAATGATATAACTACTTATTTAGAAGTAAATATGCGCTTAGCTTCAAGACCAATGATCTGCTGGTTTACATCATTTTATTATAATTACTTAACTCACTCAAACCTACCTACCCATCAGTAGTAGCCCATTAGACCTGGCTATGTATCACAAGTTCCACTGATGGTAGGCTGTTTTCTAAATTGAACCTATTTAAACACTGAATCCATGAATTTCAAGGGATGAGTATGTGGATGGATACCAGCATGCAAAATGATGCTGACCAGGGGCAATGCAGGGGCACCAAGGGGCGGAGTCAGTGTCAGTCAAAACCCTGAAGCCTACATACCTACACCTTGGGAAGTCTAGGTAAGTTCTCTTCTAAATTTGCAGCTTATTTTTATATTAGAAGTAGGAGCATGTTACTTTTACATTAAAAATGCATTAAAGATACAAGCAAATTTCATGTCGAGATGTATAAATAAAAGAGGTGAAAATTAGGAAGAGGCTTATCTCTGACAACTTCCGTCATTTATTGATTTTGAATGTAACACGGTTTCCTTCCAAAACACCTCTATTGTTCCCAAATCTGAGTTTATTCTCAGTCATCTACGACTTGGAAGTATACAAATATTATATAAAATTTCTCCAATAGGCCAGCACCCAAAGGGTACAATTTTTTAAACTGGCAAAGACACAAAAGTGATGCTTCCACCTCAATCATCATTAATTTGAGTATTTCTAATACACAACAGGACAGTAGAATAGTTTGTGTATAATGTTCTAGGCTGAAAATGAGAAGATCTGAATCTTCAACTGTTTACTAATTTACCATATAATCTCAGGAAAATCTTCATTTTTACACCACAATGCCTTTGTTGAGTCAAACAGGTTTATTATAACCCTCCTTCTGCATTCCCCAGAGAAATAAGGGAAAGAGGCTAAAACGATATACTTATCTGGAGGAGAGTATAATATATGATAACAAAATACAAATAATCTTTACCAAAAACAACAAAACCCTTTTGGTCTTTTATTCAACCTTTAAAAATTGTGAAAGAAACTCAAATTCTAAGTCCTACTGCACTATGGATCCCTGGGCTCCACTTCTATGGATGAATATTTCTTGGGAATTCAGTCAAAGTCTCATGCCTCTTCCTTGCTCTATGTCCCGCTCATCGTGAAATCCAGTTTAGGCTGGCAAGGCTGTCCTTTTAGAACAGATGGGAAGATGGACTTCCGGAGCCCTGGGTAGAGAGTCCCGGTCTCCCCCCCCCCCCAGCCTTCCTGGCCGCATGTTGTTGAGTACATTCTCTAAAGCCACGTTCCCAGGCAGGAACTGGCATGCCCCCACTGCGCGTCCATCGGCGCTCAAGGAACAGGGAGCAGTTCTGTCGGAACTCTGGTCCAGGTCAGGTCATGTTAGGCGCTATGGCAAGCGTAGCTATTCCATACTCACATGTAATCCCTTCTTTCCATAGGCTATCCCTCGGCCATAAATTGCACTAACCAGATCAGGCTCCTCCTAGTCAGACCAAAACAGAAACACGTCAAAAACTATAAACAAAACAAAACAAATCAAATCAGTTTCTGCGTAAAGCACGTTAACGCCACAAGTGACAAGCTCTAGTTAAACTACCGCCACACACACGTCCACACGCGGTCCCCAACCAGTACAGTCTGTGTGCTTGAGGCTCATTTGAATGAGACACGTGATTAAGGTTCTTTGCATTAAAAAAAATAACAAAGAGAACCAACATTAACGAGCCCTGTGCTAGTTTCTGTCACACGGTCGTCTCCTTTAAAATGCCATCGTCTCAACAACCCTATGAGCAGCAGCATCCACGATCCTGTCCCCCAGGGAGGGAAACGGAGGCCCGGGGAAATAAACGGTTAGGAGTGAAGCACCAGGCAATGCCTCTTCCTAGTTTGTCCCCCTAGCACAGTCAGGAAATCATCTGAAAAGGGAAGAGCCTCCCAGTGCCAGCCCCATTGAGCAACGAGAAATGAGTCCACTCCACAATCAGCTGGGGTGAATGCAGTCCTTTGTACTATGTGTCAGGATAGGAACCAGCCCCTTTCTGCAAGCCGCCCCAGATGAACTAGATGAAACCCCTCTCGGGCCCAAGGACAAGGTCCTCTGCCTCGCCACCAGGTCCCCACAAACAGGTCAGTGGTATGAATCGTCCCACCTCCTGAGGGAAATGCCTCTCTTCTACATTTAGCCTCTGCAATTTCTACCTCTTCTCAGAATCCTTCCCCTGCATTTAAGAAAGAAGAGTAACAGCTTCTGGCTATAGGGTCCGGGGCAAAACTCTTGACGCTAAAAAGAAATGAGGAGAACTGTACCAGACAAGGCACTTTGTAGACTAATCTATCATTTGGTTTCAAATGTGAGATAGGGGGTCTCCCTGCATTGCAGAAAAAGACACGGCAACTTCAATAAGATTAAGAAAAAAATAAAGGAGAAGATACCATACACTGGAAAACAAAAAAGACTATGGGAAACAGAATCAGGTACACCTGTATCAAGCAGCAAACCGGTGCTTTGGTGGCCTCAGCGGGGTGACTGGCTCACGGTGTATACAAATGGGAAAAATTCAAGTAAATGGTGACAGATCTCCAGCTTCACTTGAAAAATCAAAACATGCAGCAAAGGTAAGTCCACATTTCTGCATTCTCTCATGAAAAAAAAAAAAAAAACTAGAGCTAAATACTGGCCGCTTCTTTAGATGAGGGGTACATATTCATCAGTTTCCCAGAAGCCCACCCATCACCTCTACATCATGGCAATCCACTTCACTCATTTAAACTTCTTCCCAGGCTCTAGACAGTTATGTCTGGATTTATAACTTATATGTGACTGGCATGAAGGGCACCATGCTGTTTGCTAAACGGGAAAAAAACCCAAGTTACAGAACTACGGAGGAATGGCACCTTTTTTTATAAACGGTACTTATAAATGATTTGTGTGGGTCAGTACATGTGCAGAAAAGAATGCTTCAAGATGCTAACAGCAAATTTCTCTTGGGGGTGGGATTACCAGATATGTTTCCACTCTACTTACTATTCCTTTTCATTGTTTAAGACAAATGTGTAAACATTTATAGTCAGAAAAGGATGTTTTAAGGAATATGCATGATAGAAAATAGACATTTTTATTATAAATAAAACATTTTATTCAAATAAATAATTGGAATATTATAAACTACAGAAAATCTAGAAAATGAAGAAAAGCACAAAGAAGGGAGTAAAGGGCATTCCATAATCCAGACACCCAGAGATAACAACACTTGAAACATTTAAATGTCCTCCCTGGCTGGCAAATAAAAGAGGCAGAGGGGTAGTTTGGAGAGAGAGGGATACACGCACAGAGAGAGAGGAAGAGCAGGAAGAACTCCCAATGAGGAGTTAAGGTAAAATTGACTTCATGTGTTTCCATAGCAATACTGCCTGCCAGGAGACAGAACAGTCCACAGAGAAGAGTACCTCATCCAGGCCGGGGCAGGGAGCAGTGAGCTCACAGGGCTCTTCCCCTGTGAGGACATTCTCCAGGGAGAGGAACACCTACTCTCAGATTTGTAATGTCTCAAAATATAATACCTAAGAAGCTTTCCCCCTAAAACTGAAAAAAAAAAAAAATTATGAGGGTCAAATCAGAAAAAACAAAAAGTGTACTTAAATAAATAGTTCTTCTACTTTAGTGGCATCTGCCTGTGGGCAGGGCCAGCCACTCGGGGGCTCATCCTCATCTCCCCGCCACCATGTCCACTCAGGAAATCCCACAGTCTTGCCTCCTGCATACACTCTGCTGTCCCTCACTCCCAATGCACCCGACGCCTTGTCTGACGCCTCCCCAGCTCTCTTACGCAACTGCAACCTACTTAACCATGTTCCTGTTTCTTCCCATCTAGTCTCCGACCCCACACTAAGAATTATCTAGCAGCGAACTCTGATGTCGCCCTAGCTGAAATTATTCATTGGCTCCCCAACACCTACAACAGCCACATTCCAACATATTATTGCTCTAACTCACAGTAAAATGCCTCTTACATTGTAACCCTGTGTACATATATTTTATGTATATAACATGCACACGCACACGCATACACACATTAGAAATAAAAGTTGCACTAAGTCAAACCTAGTCTTCCTATCTGCAATGCAATCTGCTGTTTTCTATCCTAGTGTATTTCATTTTAAAAAAAAGTGCTAGTCTTCACTTGCCATTCAATTTCAGGCCCTACTAAAAGGTAGTGACTCACACTTTGAAAAACAATGAGGTAACATCTAAATGCTTTCGTAGAAAATATCGATCATTTTCATGCCTTACTGTTCAGTCCCATCTCCTTCCACTTTCCACTCATAATTCAAACTCTGTAAATGAGCAGTACTTCATAGTTCTCTAGATAAAAGATGCTCTCCCAAGCTCAGAGTTTTGTAGATGCTAGTCCATCTGCCGGGAACACTCACCTACCACCCCAGCTCAAACACTAACTCTCCTCTGGCTCCTTCCAGACTCCCCTGGAAAATAAATAAGCTCCTTTACCTTGGTTCCTACTATGTGTTGTATAGACATTAGTCATTTGGTCAACAAATACTTACTTAGGACCAGCTTTTAGCCATGTACTAGGAATACTATAGTAACCAAAAACAAAGACAGAAGGCAAGACTTAGAGTTCAGCCAAAGAATCACAAATATAAAGTCACATCTTCAGTAAGAGCTAGAGTAGTAAATGGTGCTTTTAGAAAACACATAAAGACTAGACACAATTAGGAAGGTTTCCCCGAGGAAGAGGTACCTTGGCTGAAATGTGCAGTGGGGGAGGGCATCTCAGAGGAGCTGTTCCAGGCAGAGGGAGCCAAAGGCCCCAAGGCAAGCAGGGAGCATAGTGTCTGCTCCAGGATGAGGTTGGAGAGGAAGGCAGGGACCTTCTTAAGGATTTTAATCTCTAAGCTAAAACCAACAGCAAAGCAGGTGTGTGTTTTAAAGTGCAGACGTGCATACGTATGGACGGTGTGCATGCGTGTGGCACATGTGAGGTGATAAGCTGGGAAACCATGGTGGCTTGGCTGTGGTTTGAACAGAGCAGGGAGAAGCAGAGGGACAAGAGAGGTACTTGGGAGCTATCCAGATAGAGTTGGTGCTGAAGTCAGTAGCACACAGATGTGTGGAGCAGGCGGACTCATGCCATTGATCCAGGCAGCACTGGCACATGACCAGGGATTCTTTCTCACTTATGGGTAGGGGTATGTGGAGGGATCGGGAGAAAGCATGCAGTCAAGTTGGAACCTCTTAATGGATATAATTCCATTGAAATTATTCTATTACTCATTATATTGCATCTGCACATTTGTCACCCAGGGGAACACAATCTCCTCAAGGGAATGTCTTCTCATGCTTGGGTATATGACGCTTAGCACATGGCCTGACACTTGTCTTAATATGTAACAGTTATTAGTTAATAATCAACATTAGCCATTTCTTAGGCAGCTAAGAAGATCTTAATGAATATTAAAGACTATCACATCAAAGTCAGCTTGGCCTGGCCTCCTCTTCTCACAGAGGAAGCAAGCAGATGACCTGGCCTGAAACAATGAGGTACCATGTTTGGGAAAAAAGCCATCCCAGGGTTCTGTAAGCAAAGCAGTGTGACAGATGTGCCATTGGAATAGCTTCAGGTGGGTCAACGGCTATCACAGCTATAATATTTTTATAGCAATAAAAAATTTCAAACCTTTAAAAGATAGCCATTCAACAGTTTCTAACAGTTCAAATATCTGAACACTGACAACTTCCTGAATTTGGTAATCATTATTTTGGACCTCAGGATTTTATGTGTGGCCGCCACTGGCAGAGAGCACTATGGTGACCCTATGTGTGTTGCTTCCCCAGCCCTCACTCTAGGTCACCCACGTGGTCTGATCATGCCTGCAGCAGTGACTTTCAGTTCTGCCAGCGACAGATAACAAGTTGTATCAATCAAGACAAGTAACCAAACATATTATATAACAACAACAATAATTATACATCCTGCTATACTGTCTAAAAAGAAATTCTAGGGGCGCCTGGGTGGGAGAGTCCATTAAACATTTGACTTTTGGTCCCAGCTCAGGTCATGATCTCACAGTTCGTGAGTTTGAGCCCTGCATCAGGTTCTGCGCTGGTGGTGTGGAGCCTGCTTGGGATTCTGTCTTTTTTTCCTCCCTGCCCCTCCCCTGCTTATGCACTCTCTCTCTCTCAAAATAAATGAGAAAACTTAAAAAAAAAAATTCTAGAGGCCACTAGCTGGCCAATGAACTCACAAGTATCAGTAGTGTGCTACATAAAGGGCAGGTCTTTCCCTAACACCATGAGGATCTCTGGCCCAATAAGTGGAGTTTGGTAGTAATTCCTGCTACAAGTGTAAAAAAAAAAAAAAAAGTAATTATAAAAAGAATAAATTGAATACAGAAATCTAAATATTGTATGAATCTGTAAAGGATTATTGTAGTTGTTATTTCAGTTATAATCTTGTATTAAGAGTTCCTAAATTTATTTTTTTTAAGTTTTTTTTTTTTAATTTTTTTTAATGTTTATTTTTGAGAGAGAGAGAGAGAGTGTGTGAGAGGGGGCGGAACAGAGAGAGAAAGAGACATAGAATCTGAAGCAGGCTCTAGGCTCTGAGCTGTCAGCAAAGAGCACAACACAGGCTTGAACTCACAAACCCTGAGATCATGACCTGAGCCAAAGTCAGAGGCTTAACCGACTGGGCCACTCAGGTGCCTCAAGAGTTCCTAAATTTAAACGACAGATTTTCTTATTTTTCTTGATTGATACAAGTTTAATATTTTGTCTATCATGGGCTTCAAATGTTAACAAGAAGTCTAAACTCTTTATGAAATGTCATAATGCACTACATTTTCAGATAAAAACCAGTATTTACTTCTAAAAACAAATTGGGCTCGGAATATTGATTTTTCAAAATATTTTTGAGTCTACAAGTCTAATAATATTTACATTCTACCAAGTATTCAGAATTTTACTTTTTAAAATATTTATTTATTTTGGGGAGAGCTCAAGCAGGGAGGGGCAGAGAGAGGGGGACAGAGGATCTGAAGTGGGTTCTGCACTGTCAGGCAGACAGGAGAGAGTCTGATGTGGGGCTCGGACTCATGAACTGCAAGACCATCACCTGAGCCGAAGTCGGATGTTCAACAGACAGAGCCACCCAGGTGTCCCAAGTGTTCAGAATTTGAAATTACTTCAGTGAAAACTAAGATTTCAATCTTCCAATATTGCTTACTTTTTGCAAATGCACAATCATTGTGTAATAAAATGAGATAGTTACACTACCGGGATCACGTACACTTAGATGTCTTAAGTCCCAAGACATCGATCTTCTTAAATTCAGAAAGGTCTAATTTACTATCCTCATTACACCATTTATATAGCGGCTTTAAATTTTACAAATACTTATATTTCCACCACCAAGGCTGGCTTTCTCATTAAAACTCAAAAGTCGGGGCGCCTGGGTGGCTTAGTCGGTTAAGCGTCCGACTTTCGCTTAGGTCATGATCTCTCGGTTCGTGGGTTCGTGCCCCGCGTCGGGCTCTGTGCTGACTGCCAGCTCAGAGCCTGGAGCCTGTTTCAGTCTGTGACTCCCTCTCTCTCTCTGACCCTCCCCTGCTCACGCTGTCTCTCTCTCTCTCTCCTAGAAATAAATAATAAAAATATTTAAAAAAAAAAAAAAGAAATAAAACTCAAAAGTCACTGGATCAAAGACAAATAAGTAAAAAAGTCAGTGCGCAGCAATGTAACGAGGACTGAGTTTTGCCCAAGCCACAGACCCACATACATAATTACAAGAAGGATGTTCACAAATCACACAGAGAGGCATGTTTCATATTTTGTCAGCTCGTGTAAAATAAGAAACAAACATTTTTATGGATTCCATTCCACCCGAATCAGATGACCTCAAGTCCACACAATTAATAAGCAAGGCCAATGCCTCATAAAACTTCTGCAGCACTCATATTACCAAGCCCTGCCTGGGGACCAAGGCAGCGCCAGAGTTGGGAGGTGGATCTGCTTTTCAAGAACATGGTCATCAATACATGGACACGTGGGCAGGCACTGGTTAGAGACAGCATTAATTAACAAGCTTTTAAACCAGGAGTTTTCAGTGCAGTCTGATAGATCTATTAAGCTTTGAAATTATGCTCAGTTGGAAACCCAGATGCTTAAGGAGTCTTTTTTTTTTTTTCCTTTATCGATGTACCAAGTACCCCCTAGTTAGAGAACTACTCAAATACCTTACGGCAACAGAAACTGGAAACATCTTACAAGTTTGCCCCTTATGGTGCAGCTAAGAAACAAAAGGAAGTTGTTTAAAAGCTTTACGTCAAAAAGTCATTCTGGAATTTAAGTAGCCCAGATTGTACTTTAAAGGATCTTATAAAAATGGGGAATCTCCATACGATTTAAGCCTCAGGGTCCCATTTGTTCTCCACTTTCTATGAAAGGAATCAGGTTGCACATTCCTGCTGCATACCGGAGGAGTTCACAGGCTGTGTCTAAAAGAAAGGTTTTATCAAGTGTTCACGACCTCAAAACCCCTGAAGAGCTTGTGTGCAAACAGTCACCGCTGCGGGTTCACTAGAGGATGTGTGCCGGCTTATGGGTACTGAGCTTCTGGACGCGCAGCGGGTCCTGCAGAGAGCAGGCAAGCGCCCGGTGCACATACTGGCAAGAACGGTCCTGAAGTCGTGCTCAGTCCAGTGCTGCAGTGGTACTCAGTCCTGTCCTGCAGCGGTACTCGGTCCGGTCCTGTAGCGGTACTTGGCCCGGTCCTGCAGCGGTACTCGGTCCGGTCATGCAGCGGTACTCAGTCCGGTCATGCAGCGGTACTCGGTCCGGTCCTGCAGCGGTACTCGGTCTGGCCCTGCAGTGGTACTCGGTCCGGTCATGCAGTGGTACTCGGTCCGGTCCTGCAGTGGTACTCAGTCCGGTCATGCAGCAGTACTTGGTCCTGTCCTGCAGTGGTACTCGGTCCAGTCCTAATGCGGTATTCAGCCCAGTCCTGCAGTGGTACTCAGTCCAGGCCTAACATGATACTCGGTCCTGTCCTAACATGACACTCAGTCCAGTACTAACGTGGTACTTGGTCCAGTCCTAATGTGGTACTCGATCCAGTCCTAACATGACACTCAGTCCAATCCTAACATGGTACTCAGTCCAGTCCTAACGTGGTACTTGGTCCAGTCCTGCAGCGGTACTCGGTCCAGTCCTAACATGGTACTCAGTCCAGTCCTGCAGTGGTGACCAGTCCAGTCCTAACGTGGTACTCAGTCCAGTCCTAACGTGGTACTAGGTCCAGTCCTGCTGTGGTACTCAGTCCAGTCCTAACGTGACACTCAGTCCAGTACTAATGTGGTACTCAGTCCAGTCCTAACGTGGTACTCAGTCCAGTCTTGCAGTGGTACTCGGTCTAGTCCTAACATGATACTCAGTCCAGTCCTGCAGTGGTCCTTGGTCCAGCCCTAATGTGAAGAGGGAAAGGCAAGGGGGCAGCGTCTGTGTGGCAGTGGTGAGCAAATCGCTCTTCGGGACCCCGGATGTGGGCAAGTATCGCTGGGATTAAAAAACCAGTGTGATTATAGCAGGAAACAGTTCTGCTGCATTTGCCAATGTAAGAAAAGAAGAGCAGTTAGATTTAAAGAAGGATAATGCTTTTAAAATAGAATTTAAAGGGGCGCCTGGGTGGCTTAGTCGGTTAAGCGTCCAACTTTCGCTTAGGTCATGATCTCGCGGTTCGTGGGTTCGAGCCCCACATCAGGCTCTGTGCTGACTGCCAGCTCAGAGCCTGGAGCCTGTTTCAGTCTGTGACTCCCTCTCTCTCTGACCCTCCCCTGCTCGCGCTGTCTTTCTCTCTCTCTCCTAGAAATAAATAAAAAACATTAAAAAAAAAAAGAGAGAAAAAAATAAAATAAAATAAAATAGAATTTAAAGTGACCAACTTCTGCAAATCCTGACTCACAGTAAGAAAAGCGGTTCTGGTGAACTGGAGCAATGGCAATAGCTCTTCTTTGGACCCGAGCTACCAGCTGCTCCTGCAGTTTCTTGATAAGACTGCTATCAAGAATTTAAAGAAACCAACAGAAAGCTCGCAAGTAGGAATCCCGGGCATCACTTTTCAGAGACAAAACCCGACACGGAAAAGTTTCGTCTGCAAAGGCAGGACTGAGTTTCTCTTTAAAATTTTTGAGAAGAATTTTAGCATTTTTTTCAATCAGTCTTTATGCCCAGTATTTCTCGTAGTTCTGGAACACGAAGACAACGTAACAAACAGAATCTGGAGAGGCTCTCTCTAGATGCCTCTACATTTGCTCTCGTTTGCTCCGGTGTGTCACGCGAATAGGCTTTTCCACATGTGTCATGATGTGGACAAGGCTGGGAAGCCCCAAGACGAAGGGACAGAAGGCAGAAATCGCCAAGAAGGGCCAGCAGGAAAAGCCAGAGTGCACTCTTGTGCCTACATCAAAGTGTGTTCTAAGCGGTCGCCCGGGTCTGTCCTCTGTGTGCCAGCAGTACTTGAACTTGTGCTGTCCCCCGTCCTCTGTTGCTGCCTCACCAATACCTGCATCACCAGGATGTAGTGCAGACTAATGAAAATGTTACATCAAACATCAATATATTAAGACCTTTTCTTGGCACAAGGAGAGAAAGTTGGATCTACTTTCTGAATGCAGTGGCAAGAGAAATACATTTTACAACAATAGATGGACAACATGATGAATAGTATAGAGCCAATAGAAGCATAAGATTACAGAGACTCACTGAAAAACATCCACAGTATAAAATTCAGTGAAAAAGTAATGTAAAATAGTACATATATTCAGATTATAAAACACAAACGCATACATACTTTGAAAAGGTCATACACAAAAAAACTTCACTAATGGTAAAGTGGCAGAATTAGGAAATTTTTTATTGACTAAAGTTTTTTTTTAATCATTGTTATACTGCCTTCAACTACAATGGTAAAAATGGTTTTCAAAAAGTTGAATGAATTGATAATATGTATGTAAACTCTCACTGTTTTCTGCTATCAGCTACCAGAGATTAACTGACTTCTGCTCCTAGAAAGGTACTAAAACCTCCCTTTCAAACCAGGGCCAAGTGTTAACTGTGTGAAGGGCTTGCTTCCATTTTCCAATAGTGCAAATCTCACTGAAAGGCGATTCTTAATATGACTAATAATCTACCCTCCATACTTCACACTCCACTGACAAATGCTGTTCCATATGAGCACTCAAACACACAACAGCTTGTATCTCAGTGATTTTGAGACTGAAGACACAAGTGTCGATATAATTATTCTATGTATAAAAAAAAAAAAAAACAAAAGTGGTGCAGAAACTTCCAAATTAGCATTTTGAAATTGAGTTTACCTGCTGGATTGTAAATTATCTGTTGGTTCACACTGCATTAGCACAGATCAATGTGCTGGAGTGGTGCTTTGAGTAGCTAAAATTAACTGAGCACTTACTCTGTGCCAGGTACTGAGCACTAAGTACTTTACAGAATGTGTCATTTAAACCTAACAAGAATACTTTTGGAGGTAATGGTTATTATCCTCCTAGGCGAGGAGGTTAAATAACTTGCTAGCGACCAGCAGAGGGGATTAGAACACGGGTATCTTTAATTCTAAAGACCATGCTTCTCCACTGTCCTACTCTGCTGGACATACACACATCAACAATGGTCAGCATCTACAAGAACACTGTTAAAGAAAGATAAGGGTATAAGGCTGGTAATGTGAGGTTGTATTACAGGTCTCCACTGCAACTCTTATACATGTTTGTTCAAGTCTTTTATCTTAACCAGATTTTAATGGAGCCATCAGTGAGGAAAGGCTCAATACTTCCACGGAGGAGTCTCACCATCAAACTTTAAGGGGAGAAACAAAGCCATGAGTAGAACCATGCAGATCGACTCCTGCGTGGAAAGTGAACGTGCCCAAGTCCAAGAATTTCCAGCATCCGTATCTTATGGGAGATGGCACAGTAGAGAGCAAAGTGATGGGAAGCTAATGGTTTTTTTCCTCCGAAACTTGCATTTGAGGCCCATCTCTTCCAGCTGATGGTGAGGGAGAGTGTGAGCAAATGGCCTGACCTCCTTTGATCTCATTTTCCTCATTTAAAATAAAGTAATACTGCAAAGATGAACTGAGAGGAGTGGTTCAAGGCCTGCACCAAGGAAGTGCTCGGTCAGGGCTGATTTCCTTTACTTTCTCACATCATCTTAAAATCAATGTATCCCTGTAGCACTTTATGCATGAGTCCATATTTTTGTCATGACTATAAACTTGAGATTACATAATTAAGAAGAAAAATTACCTGAAGCATTGTTGAAAAATGTCTTATTGCTTCATCATACAGACCGCTGCCAATCAACACATAAGCAATAGCTATGAAACAAAATACAAAAAGATTAAAAGAAAGAACAAAGGATCTCAGAGTAGAACTGGTAACTAAATGCTTTGCTGAATCCTAAAAGGCAGCTCCAAGGGCTAGAAGCAGTTAAAGAAGACCTGGGAGTTAAGAAGATGTAATGGAATTCCTTCCGCCACTCGGCACTTGCTATCAGTCTTCTGGTGCTCTCTAGATTTAAATTATTAAAGCCATCTATAAAACATTACCTATGAGAAGTAATTATCTTTTTCTAAGCCCATTGCTCACTCTCAAATACCAAATAACCTTTATGATGTTTCCCGCCTATACATCAAAAGAGCTAGTAATAAGCCTGAATAAAACCCACGTAACAGGACAATGTGGTTTTACGGTAAAAGTTAAGAAAAATATCAAATAGCAGCACAAATCTCAATTCTGGGGTTGACGGGAGTGGGGGTGGGGTGGGGGGCGGTGGTGTTACTGAACTTACTGCCAGTTACTGAGTAAGAACAAAAACAGAAGCTCAGATTAATATATATTAACAAAATGCTTAATTGTAGCCAATTCACAACAGGGCAGTGCAACAGTTTTTTTCCTACTTCCTGTATTGAAAATACAGCCAAAACACTACTCAAAATATACACTGAAGATGAATCGTTTCCAATCAAGTTCTGTAGGTAAGAGGCATTTTGAAATTAGAGCCATGAAGACCTCTTAAAATACGGCAATATTTGTACTCAATTTTTTTACCTGTCCAAACTGTAAATATATTGTTGATACCCTAGATTACATTTCATCTATAAAACTTTCCCTAACTCCCTGAATCCCCAAATACCCCTCAAAAAACTGTACTCCTCACTCGACACAATACTATTTGGATCACATTTCTTGGCAAATAAAGCTTTACTCCAAAGCTCTGATTCTAGGACCTAACAGGTGTTCAAGGAGACAGGCGACTAAATCTTTTCCTGCAGTGAGGAGCTTAAATTTCCTGACAGTTAATAGTAAAAACATTCAGTGCAGAAAGAGACTTTCTAAGTATCCTTATAATTAACATGAGAAAAGTAAACTTCAAAAGCACTGAATGCTTCAAAAGCACATAATACGACAAAAGCTTCTTCAAAATAAAGAGGGCTGTTCTTGTCATAATTTCTTTGAAAAGATACATTCAGGTGAAACTCATATTCGGAATAAGAATGGATACCATTCAGATGTATCACATGACAAGATGACCAGCTTTGGGGTGGGGGCCAGGAGTATCAGCAGTAAAAACAGCAACAGTAAGAGGTACATGCATGGCACTCTGTACGTTTCCACGTATTAACTCATTTGCTCCTGGAGTGCAATGAGGCAGGTACAAAGATTATCCCCAAAGACAAGGAAACGAAACACGGTGCAGTTAAACAAACTGTCCAAAGAGAATGTACAGCGAGACAGGCCCCAGGGCAGCCAGCTCTGGGACCGGCCCTCCTCCCCTGAAAGAGACCACGGCGGTACCGAAACTGCTGTGTCCTGGGCTGGCCTGCAACATGGTTTGAGGCTCTGGATGGTTACGTGAATGGGGACTGAAATATAAACTTGTACTGTTTTGAATGCAGGAGGATGGTGGTATATTGGAAAGCCGAGATCTGGGCTCAGGCTCTGGCTCTGCCAAACACTGGTGGTGAGATCGCGGGCACCTCAGTCCCTTCTCGTTACTCTGTGAGTCTTGCTTAACAAGTCTGTAGAACATTTTCTCAGATTCCTTTCAGATCTAAGTTTCTCAAATTTCCTATCCATCTCCCCAGAATCAGTAAATGTGTGTTGGATGAACAAATGAATACATGACCCATAAAAACAAATACTGTTTGAGGGGATAAATAATGTACTTGGGGATGTGTTTAATTTGTTCTCCGTGGCGAGACGGCTGAACTCCGCTTAAACAAAATCAAATGCAGCTCTCAAATCTTTCTAAGAGTAAATCTGTTTTGAGAAAAGCCCCAAAGAATCCATTAAAAAAAAAATCCAAAGCTTACATAACTATAAATAAATATTAGGATCTAAATTTTGCTGTGGCAAAGACATAAAGGGAACACTGGAATTCTCACAGAAATCACTACTGACCATAATTCCACATCTCCTGGCAATGCATGTGTTGACAGAAGCTGTTCTTCAAGAAAAAAAAAAAAAAACAAAAAAACACTGTGATATGAAAGATCCTAAGCCATGTCAGGGCCTATACTATCCAGGTCTACAAGGATTAGTCTTAGAGCACAGAACAGGCCTGGTATGTGCCTGGTATGGCCTGTTCAGCCCAGGACACGGCAGTTGTGGTACCGCCGTGGTCTCTTTCAGGGTAGGAGGGCCGGTCCCAGAAGTTTAATTCATCACTTAATATGTGAATAGGGGGCTGAACAGATCCGAAGATTTCAGAAAAGACCAAATCTGATTTCTTAACAGGTAATTAATTCTCAAAGTCTACTCAAGGAATATCACCAAGAAGTGATTAATACTTTCAAAATAATCACTCTTAATTATCTGCACAAATAGAGCAAAGGAGCCAATATAAGAAGTGTTCGGTCTTGACTTTTTTAAGTGCGCTCTAGGCCCAACGTGGGGCTTGAACTCATGACTCCGAAATTAGGAGTCATGTGCTCTCCCGACTGAACCGGCCATGTGCCCAGAAGTGCTCAGTCTTAATATAAAATGCATACGGTCACAGAAAGAATAAAATAACTATGTGTAAATTAGGTAGAAAAGATTCCTGATGGCGCCTCGGGCCGCCAGGTACCAAACAGGCACATGTGCTTATGCGACATTCATCCATCTGCACAGTTCAGTCCCATCTTCAATTTTGTTTCCACTCCTTCAAGTATAAGCTGACTAGGCAATGAGCGAGACACACCCAAAGTGTACCAGACACTGGCGAAACCAGCCTGCTTTATAACATGCCATGAACCAGCCAAATTGCTGGACCCCTTTGCAGATCTGAATGAACTTGGCTTTCCTACACCCACATTCTTAGACACAAGAATAACTGCCTGGCCTCACGGTAAACCTGACTTACACCTAGCTTTTTTATTCCACAGAAGATTCAAGTAGGTGTGAGTCTCCTCTGTTTTCACTTCTGTGCTGTTCCTATGTGATGACAGCCCAAGTGACCTTTTAATGAATGCTAACCGCTCCTAAGGGCTCATAACCATCATTATTACTTTCCAAAGAAACACAGAGGTGGAATGGTCCTCACCGATCATTTCCTCATAACCTTATAGAGTAAAACCTCGGTTTGAGAGCATAATCCATCCCAGAAGCATGCTTGTAATCCAAAGCACTTGTATATCAAAGTGAATTTCAATTAACAATTGGCTCAGTTGTGATCATGTGACATTTGGCATAAGGTACTACTCGTATTGCAAGACGTTGCTTGTTTATCAAGTTAAAATTGATTAGAAATGTTCACTCGTCTTGCATAATACTTGCAGAACAAGTTCCTCGCAATCCAATGTTTTACAGTATTTTCTCTATTTCACATTATTCTGACATGTGATGCACAGACCTGCATGAGGGCTGAACGTCTTGCCCAAGATCACACCACTTTTGGCAGAGCCGGTGTCCGTGTTCTTTCCACTTCACCACATGGCCTACCTGCTCAGCATCGAGCCATACATTCTAGGCAAATACCTCAGGAACACCCCCTCCCCCAGATTCAAATCTCACCTAGCTCTTCATTTGTGCTGTCATTATCCGTAGCAAAAGGGAATCTCTTTTGTTCTGCAATAGACTTGGCCTGGCTCTGAAATAAAAGCAAACACACACGCATTTTAGCTTATCACAAATGAAGACAAGGCTTGCAATGAACACCTGTATGTTTACAAATTAAAGCTACATTTGGTTCATATGGAAGAGAGAAAAGATTCACTCTGAGTCATGCCAATCATGTACTTCAAGCACATAGCTTATCGTATAACTGATTTGCCTCCTCCCTACCATAAGTGGTTCTGTTTCTAAGAACAAGTTTCTTTCCACTCCCATAGGGATTCATCTTGCTGGCTGCTTCACACTCCCTCCACGTTTTCAAAGACTACTCAATGGCCATGATCTAGTCCTCCAATGCGGCTGGATGACAGAATATTGCTTTTTAAACTCTAAAAACACTTTAGAAATAAGAGCTACAAGTTGTCCAGAGATGACAGCGTAAAGGGACTGACAAAACCTGACCAAGAAACAAGACATTCTAGTAGAAAATGCACAGCAGATGACGAACATCTCTACCCTACTGAATGTGGTAAACTGCCTATGGAGAATTTATGCAGACATATGCCTATTCGGCAGGAAAACTACACCAAAAGTGGAAACTAGGGGCAGACAAAATAAATAAGTTAGCTTAGCAACTGGAGTGACTTTACAGGCAGCACAGGTCCACCATATGAAATGATGGCTCTACAGTGTGCTGGAGACAAATCCCGTCTGACACTTCAGTGGCCACTTCCCCGGAAGATTTAACTGTTGATGCTAAGTTGCGATACACTTAGCCTACAGGGTACAAGTTAAAATGATTACTTTATATGAGATGCACCTAAGATACAATTAAAACTTATACACACACAGAGACAGGAGAAGCTAAGGCAGCGAGAGACTAAAGATTCACAGCTTTTGGCAAAACCACAGCGTTAGAACTCAGTGACATCCCAATTAACTGAGTTCCTCTTTTTAAAAAATGCATAGTATGGATGCCTACAGGCATATGTGATGACCAAATAATTTTACACACGAGTCTCTTCTAACTACTGTTTGTGCTGTTCGGCTAATGATTGGTGGTCATTAGCAGATGATGAACTGTGTGGCCCCTTGGGCTTCATGGACTCAACAGAGTAACAAGGCACTTCCGCTTATACTCCCTAGATTCTCAAAATCTAAACTGATATTCAGACACAGCGTGATATTTAGTCTGCCTATAAAACAAGTCAAGAATAAGCTGCCTGTGGTTAAAACACTGGTTGAAAGCTATAGGCCAGAAGGGCATCCGACATCAGGATGAATGCTCACTTTATTCCATTCAGGACTCCAGACAAAATGCAACATTTGAAAATCCTACTACTGTGCGAATGCTTAACACTTAGCTTTTTCTAGTAAAACCCTGATGACTAGAGAGGAAGTCGGTCAGCTCTTTCTCATTTTGCTCTATAGCTGGAACTTCCACACAGCTATGGGGAACCTTACAGTGAGATCTTCATGAGGCTTTTTTTTTTTTAAACATTTATTTATTATTGAGAGACAGAAAGAGACAGAGTATGAGCATGGGAAGGGAAGAGAGGGAGAGACACAGAATCTGAAGGAGGCTCCAGGGTCTGAGCTGTCACCACAGAGCCCGATGCAGGGCTCGAACTCACAAGCCGTGAGATTATGATCTGAGCTGAAGTTATACACTTAACCGACTGAGCCACCCAGGTGCCCCATAAGACTTCTTTAAGAAGCCACAGATTCAACAACATGGGAAGGCATCACAGTACATACAACCGGTATGACCAGATACAAGGCTTTCCTCTTTGTCAGGCGGCCACAGATAAGCACACAGATGTAAAACATTTTTCTGCTCTGTAAATTGCTTACAGCCAAGAAAGAAAAGGAGCCTCTGAATAGAATAATGCTTTTAGTACTTAAAAAGTCTAATTATTTCATCCAGTACTCAATGAGAGTTTCCCATTTACCATGCCTTTGGGCAGAAAGGTAGAGGAAGAAAACACAAATGAAATCCCATAAAAGGATATCGTTTTCTTGGGGTCCCTGGGTGGCTCAGTCAGTTAAGCATCCTACTTTTGATTTCGGCTCAGGTCATGATCTCACAGTCCTGTGTCGACCATGCGGAGCCTGCTTGGGGTTTCCCTCTCTCCCTCTCCCTCTCTCTCTCTCTCTCAAAATAAATAAATAAACTTAAAAACAACAAAAAAGAAATCATTTACCAAGCAACTAGAAATAACATCTAACAGAAGTGGGGCGGCAAAATATAGTATGGACAGATTAACTTCTTGACTAGAAACAGTCTTTCCCACTTCTAATACTGCACCTATAGATATCTTCTGTAGACAGCGGGGAGAAGTTCCAATCAAAGATGTTTATGCACACAGCCCCACGTTTCGCTGGGACACTAACTCCAACCCATCCTTCAGGTCGCTGCTTACACTTCGGGTTCTGAAAGCTGTCCTACCTGATTTAAGGGAGACTATGTTGATCCTCTGGTGTACCTCTATGTTTATTTGGATAATTATCTGGTTAGTGACTAGAAGTCACGAGTGCGGGGACTGAGGCTAGCTGGCTCACTGTGGTATTATTCCCAGTACTTACTTAGCACAACGCCTGGCACATAATAGGTGCAAAATAAATATCTGGAGAATTAATGAAGAAATGAATAGTCGAACTCCCATATTTTCAACCTAGGGAAAATGAAAGGCCAAGATTGATGAGCTTTCTCCCATAGGTTACTAGCTAGTGCCATCTTAAACTAGAAATGCAACACGGAGAAAATACTTGAATTACTGTCAGTAGGACGGTAGGTCCCTGATAATTCTGAGAATCTAATCCCCTACCCAAGGTAAGGATTATCCAATTTCCACTTAAGTGTTTTCAGTGATGGCCAACTCGCTACAAGCTAGCCCATTCTGGTTGCGGACCAGTCTAATTCAAGTTCTTCCATACATCGAGTTGACTGCTATGCAATGAGTTAGGTTACATCTGTTGATCATTCTCTTGCTTGCAAATTCTACCCATTTTCAGTACTTCTCACATGCAAAGGCAAAGCTTTATCTGGAGAAGAAAGAGCGACCGAGAGGGAAATTTTAAACACAAGAAGCAAACAGTATCTACATGGATGTTGAAGGAAAAGGCCTGGAGAAAAAACATGTTCACCTTGAGCAGTGAAAGAACAACTCAGCTTCAGAGAATTAGTGTGAACAAAAAAAAAGAGCCTTGCACCCGAGGCAGCGAGGCTGGAGGGGTGTACGTGCGAACACGGACAGGCAGAGACAGACGTTACATAGTGCCAGGAACTCATTCCTGGAGTGGAAAGGCCTCCTACACAGTTCAGCTCGTACTGATAATTAAAAACATAGATATAAAACATATCCACACAGGCAAAGGCTGGAAAAATATGATATTATACCTTAAAATACATTAGGTTCCTAGAAGTAAGGCTCAGCCATAATCTCCCCTTTATTCCTTGGAACTTAAAAGTACAAAGGCCGAGGTCTAGAATGATCAACCATCCAATCCATAAGTCATAATAATTTAATGTAACTAAATACCAAATGATCTATCTTTATCTTATGCAAATAGAACCAACCGGAACCAACTCCTAGTTGATAAACAGAGGTGACCTGTGCCTTTTGAAACATGTACCACTGTGCTTTAAGTCATAAAAACAGATGCATGTACAGAAGATGCGTACCAGGATCTTTTCAGTGTTGAGGGAAAGCAGTGAGTCACAGGGTGGCGGCCCTTTGGGTTCGCAGTCTGAGTCGTGGAAGTTCAGAAAGGATGACTCTGTAAAGCAAATATTCCTGGTTATTCTCCGAACCTGAAATGTATGGCTTTAGGTGTTTAACTGTTAATTACAATGTTAAGAACACACGCACACACAAAGAATCCACAAAATCAAAATAGGGACAAGAAAAAAAGCACTAAAAGGGAAACCCTACCTTCCACTTTACGGCTGCATAACATTCTACAGTTGCCAAATATCTTGCACAGCTGTCAGTGACTGACCTCACAACCAGTCATTAATACAGTAGTTGTCAAGATCCCTTTTTCAGACATCTCTACCTGGCAGCATTTACCATAGGTTAAAAAAAAAATCACAAAAGGGAGAACAAAGTCAAGCCAGGGAGATCTAATGTTAAATGATACATACTAAGGGTATAGAATCCAGAATATATAAATAACTACTGACTTCAACAACAAAAAAAAAGACAACCCAATAAAAAAATGGACAAAGGACTGGAATAAGCAATTCTCTAAAGATACACAAATGGCCACAGAGTAAATCAAAAGATGCTCTACACCATTATTAAGTAGCGGATGTAAATCCAACCACAGTGAGGTATGCCCAGAAGGATGGCTTTTTTTTTTTTTTAATGGGAAATCATAAGTGTTGGCAAGGATATAGAGAAATTAGAGGCCTTGTACATTGCTGTGTAAAATGGTGTGGCCACTGTGGAAGATAGTTTACTTGTTCATCAAAAAGTTGAACACAGAATTAACATATTGTCCTACTATCCCATCCCTAGGTATACACCCAAAAGAACTAAAAACAGGGAATCAAACAAGTACATGTACATGCATCTTCACAGTAGCAATATTTACAATAATCAAATGGTGGAAACAGCCCAAATGTCCATCAACAGACAATGTGTAAACTGTGGTATATACATGCAGTGGAATATTATTCAGCCTTAAAACAGGATGAAGTACTACAGTCACCATTAGTAAGTAAAACACTTTATTTTTCAAAATAAATCTACATTTATACTTTAACCATTTCAAAATTTGGAGACTTTTTACCCTAAGCTACATCTAAAATGCTTGCCTGTATTTGGAAATATTCAATTAAAGATAAATTTTTAAAAAGAATGAAATACTTTACATGTTCATATAACAACATGTAAAAACCTCCAAAATATGAGTAAGCACCTCCAAAACAAAAACTACATGAAAGAAGCCAGACAAAAAAAGTCACATATTGTGTGAGTCCACTGATACAAAATAGCCAGAAAAGGTAAATCCATAGACAGAATGCACATCGGTGGTTGAAGAAGGGAAGAGGAAGAAACTGCTGAGGGGTGAGGGGGTTTACTTAGGAGTGACAGAAGAGTTTTGGGGTGGCCACACAACATTGTGACTGTACTCAATGTCACAGAACTGCTCATTGCAAAACAGTTAATTTTATGTTATGTGAATTTTGCCTCAACAATTATTTTTAAACCTATGCTGTAATTCAGCAGTCATTAAAGAGCATCAAATTGTGTTCAAGGGACCATAGGAACCGACAGAGATAAATTCTCATTTGTGTCTGTCTTAACAGTTGCAGACTAGAGCTGATATACCAAAGAAGCCCTGGATGGTGAATGATTTCTGAAGCTGGAAGGTTAAATTTCACAAGGCCCAGGCAGAGTTTAAATGGATGGGTGGGTTCTGCTAACATCATCCTCAGTGGGGAAAAACTGAGTGCCTTCCACCTAAGGTCAAGAACACAACAGGGAGATCCATTGTCACCACTGTTATTCAACATAGTATTGGACGTCCTAGCCTCCGCAATCAGCCAACACAAAGAAATAAAAGGCATCCAAGCTGGCAAGGAGGAAGTCAAACTTTCAGTCTTCACAAAAGACATGATACTCTATATGGAAAACCCAAAAGATTCCACCAAAAAACTACTAGAAACTGATTCATGAATTCAACAAAGTTGCAGGATATAAAATCAATGCACAGAAATTGGCTGAATTTCTATACACCAATAATGGGGCAACAGAAAGCAAAATCAAGGGATCAATCCCATTTACAACTGCACCAAAAACCATTAAATATCTAGGAATAAGCCTAAGAGGTGAAAAATCTATACACTGAAAACTACAGAAAGCTTATGAAAGAAACAGAAGAAGACACCAAAAAAATGGAAAAATATTCCATGCTCATGGATTGGAGGAAAAAATATTGTTAAAATGTCGATACTGCCCAAAGTAATCTACATATTCAATGCAATCCCTATCAAAATAACACCGGCATTCTGCACAGAGCTAGAACAAACAATCCTGAAATTTGTATAGAACCAGAAAAGACCCCAAGTAACCAAAGCAATCCTGAAAAAGAAAACCAAAGCTGGAGGCATCACAATTCTGGACTTCAAGATGTATTACAAAGCTGTAATCATCAAGACAGTATGGTACTGGCACAAAAACAGGCACTTAGATCAAGAGAGGACCCAGAAATGGACCCACAAACATATGGCCAACTAATCTTTGACCAACCAGGAAAGAATATCCAACGCAATAAAGACATTCTCTTTGGCAAATGCTGTTGGGAAAACTGGACAGCGACATGCAGAAGAATGAACCTGGACCACTTTCTTACACTCTACACAAAAATAAACTCAAAATGGATAAAAGACCTAAGCATAAGACAGGAAGCCAGCAAAAACCTCGAGGAGAAAGCAGGCAACAGCCTCTTTGACCTTGGCCACAGCTGCTCCTTACTCAATATGTCTCTCAAGGCACGGGAAACAAAAGCAAAAATGAACTATTTTGGGACCTCATCAAGATAAAAAGCTTCTGGATGGTGAAGGAAACAATCAGCAAAACTAAAAGGCAACTGACAGAATAGGAGAAGATATTTGCAAATGATTCATCACATAAAGAGTTAATATCCTAAATCTATAAAGAACTTTTCAAACTCAACACCCAAAAAGCAAATAATCCAGTGAAGAAATAGGCAAAAGACATGAATAGACACTTCTGCAAAGAAGACATCCAGATGGCTAACAGACACATAAAAGATTGCTCAACATCACTCATCATCAGGCAAATACAAATCAAAACCACAGTGAGATACCACCTCACACCTGTCCGAATGACTAAAATTAACAACTCAGGCAACAACAGATGTTGGCGACGATGCAGAGAAAGAGGAACCCTTTTGCACTGCGGGTGGGAATGCAAACTGGTGCAGCCATTCTGGACAACAGCACGGAGGTTCCTCAAAAAAAGTATAAACAGAATTACCTTACAACCCAGCAACTACACCACTAGGTATTTATCCAAAGGATACAAGTGTGCTGTTTAATGGGGCATATGCACCCCAGTGTTTATAGCATTACTATCGACAATAGCTAAAGTTTGGAAAGAACCCAAATGTCCTCTGATGGATGAATGAATAAACAAGATGTGGTATATGGAGTATTACTCGGCAATCAAAAAGAATGAAATCTTGCCATTTGCAACAACACGGACACAGTGTATTATGCTAAGTGAAATTAGTCAGAGAAAGCCAAATATGACTTCACTCATGTGAAATTTAAGATACAAAGCAGATGACCATAAGGGATGGGAAGCAAAAATAATATAAAAACAGGAGGATAAAACATAAGAGACTCTTAAATACAGAGAAGTGAGTGTTGCTGGAGGGGAGGTGGGTGGAGGGATGAGCTAAATGGGCAAGGGGCGTTAGGAGGACACTTGCTGAGATGAGCACTGGGTGCTATATGCAGGGGGTGAATCACTGGATTCTACTCCGGAATCATTATTGCACTACATGCGAATTGACTCGGATATAAATTTAAAAAATAAACAAATAAAAGGATGGGTGGGTCTAGACTGGGGAACAGAGAGGAAATGGGTATTCCCACCACTGTGGGATGAGTGATGTATACAGAAGTACAAAGGCCAGAAAATGCGAAGGAGCAGAAAGCAGACAATCTTAGCCAGAGGGAGCTGCTGTTGGATAATAAAAGATACCAGGTTGGAACGCGAGTGGTCAGACTGGGGAGTCTTGGAGCCAAGAGAAAGGCTTTAGTCTGACAACTGTGAGGAAGCAGTAATGGTTGTTGGTAGGTAGCTGGAAACACTTTATCACCTATTTCTTCCTAAGGCTAACGTTTGAGGGCTTGCGATATGCTACGTGCTGCAGTGAGCATTGCATATACGTGGCCTTACTCTCTTCTAACAATCCCTCCACGTGGTGGGATTCATTTCAGTTTCAATAAATATGCATCTGTAGAATTTTAAGTGGCTGCACACCACTCATCCCCTTACGTGAAGGCTAACCATCTTTGGGTAATTAGGCTGCCCTTTCCCCCTTATGATAAAAAAATGTTTTATAAGTACGCTTGACCTATATTTTTTTAAATTCACCCAACTTGGCAATTGAATTCTAACAAATACAATTGCCGAGGCAAAGGATGTAAACAGCTTTAAGACCTTTCACATATGCTGCCCCATTTCCCTCCCAGGATGTAATATTTTCATTCCCACCCAACAGTGTAGAAGACAGTCTATTTCACTCTGCTCAGAGTATTCTGTTCTTTTTTATCTCTTCCTAATCTGAAAATTGCACAAACTTTTGGTTTACTGCCCATTGGCATCTCTTCTTTTGTAAATCATGTGTTTCCTCTGCTAATTTTTAAGTCATTTTATCTATTCTGGACTAAGATATAGAAGTGAATGTCTGTTTTCCAGTTATCTCAGAATAATTTTGAACACCACCTTTATAATAGTCACCAGGGTCTGTTTCTAGATTTTTAAAAGGATGCTTAGAAATAATTTATATCCAACTATAATAGTTCTCACAGATGACTATCCAATCTATATAAGCACTGAGGTTTAAAAAATTACAGTAATTCATGTTCATTCTAGAAAATATTTTTTAAAAATCACAAAACAAAAGTAAGTCATTTAGAACACTACCACACATTGAGAACCACTGTGAAAACTTTGGTGTGACTAACGTACTTAAGAGTGACAATACTGAGGGGCGCCTGGGTGGCTTAGTCGGTT